CCATATCCAACTAAGGCTCAGTTCAGCACCCCAGGTTCCCAACCCAAACAGTTAGCACGGAAAACGGAACGGTCTATTAGCACGTGATTAATTAAGTATTAGCTTTTTTTTTCAAAAATAGATTAATTTGATTTTTTAAGCAACTTCCGTATAGAAACTTTTTATAAAAAACACACCGTTTAGCAGTTTGAAAAGCGTGCGCGTGAAAAACGAGAGAGAGGTTGGAAAAATGGGGTGCCGAACACACCCTAAGAGTTCCGTCAAACATGACTACGGATTAAAAATGGAAGAACGGATACCGCACAAACGTGACCCACTGTCGCCCATCGCCGCATCCTCTGATCCTTCTCACCCTAACCCATTCGCGTGATGTACTAGTTGTGAACATCCGCTCACTAGCCTTGTCGTTGTACCTTGGCACGCTGTGGTGCACTCCCCTTCAGGGCCTCGCTCGTCTCTTTAGGTTGCATTTAGACATTTTTTGATAATTCAGTCTATTCGGTTACCCGAGGAGACTAACCGAATTGACCGAACAAAATTCGGTCTTTCACTACCTAGGACCGAATTGATGACCGAATGTCTTGGTCTCAGTCTCGGTATTTTTGGTTCGGTCTTTTTCTGCCCACCCCTAGTGGTGATCCATCCTTATCTTAAACAGGATTGAACTATTCTTGTACCTTAACGCACTACAAGAAAAATGCTACGTAGAGACATTTTTCTAGTACTATAAAGACACTTTTCAAATGCCTTTACAATACTATATAGGCATTTTAAAAAATGTCTAATAAGTGTCTTATGGTTAATTGTCTCTACAAACAAAGAGACATTTTATAAAATGTCTATAAGGTGGTACAGGCATTTTCTAGACACATTAAATTGTACCACAGCCATATGAAAGTGAAACCAATGTAAAAATGAGAATAAAATATTCTCCCTTGTTTTTGCCAATCCTTGAACTCATGATCTCTTGAACAAATCATTCTTATCTTCAAGGCACTAACCAACTCAACCCCATATTATTCATTGTATATGTTAATGCCTTAAGTTACTTATATTTAGCTATTTAGTATATTTTTATTGTAAGAAGTGTCTCTACAGAGTTTAAAGTGTCTCAAGAAAATGTCTTTACATGTCAGACACATTTTAAAGTGCCGAAAGAGTACCTCTACAAGATATAAAATCTAATAAAATATGCTGAAAATATTTCGAGACTGTCTCTAGAGTAAAAGTTTTCTAGGCAATTTTGAAAGTGCCCCAATAAAATATCCCCACGCTATAAAACTCCTGATCTTAGAGGCAATTTGCAAAACGCCACTACAAAAGTGTCAAGTGTCTTTATATAATGTTTTTGTTGTAGTGACGGTTACCTCTAGAGATTATTTTTTATGGGATAAATTTAAAAAACTTGACCTATGGGGGATAAGACAGTCCTCGGGTATTTTGCATAGAAGAAGACCTTCTCACGCTGGTTAAGAATTGAAAATCCCTGAACTCTTGCTCCACCCTTACATACAACAGCACCGTACCATAACCCATGTGAGAACAAACAATGACCTGGGTTGGACCTTAGACTGGTGCTTAGGCATGGAACAGACCAGAGAATTTTTTAGCCCCATCCTAAAATTCACTCCTAGGAGGAATCAAACCGAGAATATTAGCAGTGCTACTAAGGCACCTAACCAACTCAGCTAGAGGCCCGTTCGCATGGGACAAATTTTGTTCACTAAAGAATAACTATTTGTGTGATGGTAGTACATATCACATGACCCCGTGCTAATTTATTTGATCGAAATAGAGAAATACGTAGTGCAGATTATATATGTATAGTGGAAACCTATAAACTATTGTTAGATTTAAAAATAGACATATAAGATTCATTCACGTCGCCCATGGTTGAATCTGGGAGAAAATATTTTACTCTAGGTAGCGTGAACAAATATCATGCGTCCATTTTTAGATTTAATGGTAGTTTTCAGTTTTTCACTACATATGTGGTTTTCACTGCATATTTTTCCCATATCGTATGCATCGGTAACAATCAAACAGTTACCCCGTTCATCTCTAACACGTTAATTTCCACCCATCGAGTATATTAACTTTCAAGGCACGTAGGTCTTTGGAAAAAAAAACTTTTAAGGCACGTATCCTTTTGCATGTTCTTTAGAACAAGATACTCGAGAAAGACAACAACAAAAAGAAAAAAACAAGGGGAAAGAAACTAGCTAGAGAAAGTGCATTACTACTTTTAACCACCAGTGTACAAACATTCTCTTGGAGTACTGCGATCTTGCTTGTACGTCAAGGAAAGGTGGCCATTCTTTGCCTTAAAGAACACACATCTGCCAGTATATAGGAATAGCATACATTGACCCCCAATCTTCTGTCACTGACATATGAAAAAAAAGGCAGCAGCTATCATACATAAGCATGCATATTGTTGCCATATTCCACTCCATGCCTGCTTGGAAAGTACTCCCTCTGTTTCAAAATGTTTGAAACCGTTGACTTTTTAGCACATGTTTGACCGTTCGTCTTATTCAAAAACTTTTGTGAAATATGTAAAATTATATGCCTACATAAAAATATATTTAACAATAAATCAAATGATAGGAAAAGAATTAATAATTACTAAAATTTTTTGAATAAGACGAATGGTCAAACATATGCTAAAAAGTTAACGGCGTCAAACATTTCGAAACGGAGGGAGTAGCTAGGAGGGGAAAGTAAAGTGAACACTAATGGTATCATACATGCCCAAGCTAGCTTGGGTTTGATTAATTGTCTTATTAGAGAGGCAATGAAACATTGAAGCACATTGGATTGATTGTGTTTGTGGCAGCATGAGAGGGTGCATGCATGCTCAATCTTTTCTGCTTTGGAGGAATATTAGGGTATGTGTTGTGGATGTGCTATAATTAAAGTGGTATGTAGTTCGATCAAATGATGTGGATTTGTGGCTTTGTGCTCCTGATAGGCCGTACTAATCAACAGTGATGTACTAAACTATGAAGCGTAGAAACATCAATCGAAAATCAAACTGAGCTATATGAGGAGTAATGAGAGAACCCCATGTGTCCTGATCTGGTAACATCGATGCTTATGTGCAATATGATTTGTTCAAGCTATCGTCTCAGATTATGGATGAAAATCTAGTTCTGGCTCTGGACGATTGTAACGGATCGGACAAGCTATAGTTTCTTTCATAAAGGCGGTGTTGTTTAATTTGTAGTTAACTAGGTCTCCGTGTTCTTTCGATATGTGACTGAATTGTTGCAAGATAATATATATGTTCGTGTTTGTCTTATGGTTATTTTAAAGTAAATTTCATAAAACTACAAGTATTTTGATCAAATTATCGTACAGTTACAGATTTAAGACAACATATTATAAAACTACACATTTAAGGTCAAATATCATAAAACTATAGATTTAATACTAGAGTTATCACAAAATTATAGATTTTGTAGTTTAAATCCTTACCACTAATGTTATAAATGTTGTAATTTTGCATTTAACATGGTATAAAACATTTAGTTTTATGATAATTTTAAAACTAAATCTATAGTGTGGTGATTGCCCATCTTAAATTTGTAGTTTTTTGATAAAATTTGTCCTAAATCTGTAGTGTTGGGATACACCTTCTTAAATCTGTAGTTTTGTGATAATTTTATCAAAATATATGTAGTTTTGTGAAATTTACTTTTTTTTGCGCGCACATCCTGATAGGCGCAAAGGCAGGGTGTAATTTTATTTTCTAAATTAAATGAAATTATTCCTGTTATCTAGCAATTAAAGCAGATAACAATTAAAGTGTAAGGTCATCATCATTTGCCCATATTTATTAATAAGCCAAAAGATTTATTAGGTAATAAAAATTAATTTGTAAGTAAAAATTTTATATATGTGTTCTTAGTGACTTAAAAGTCTATACTGAAAAAGAAACTACGTTGAAAATATCTTAAAATCAACTTCAAAATTAAATTTAAATTTAAATTCCAGTTTTTGCTTTCACTTATTAGGGCAACCAATGAGCTCTAAAACATACATAGAAAGGATGCAGACGAGCCTAGCACAAAAGTAACAATCATTTTTTCGCGAGGACGAAAGTAACAATCATTGATGCCTCTCTAATTGATTGTATAGCAAATGTAAGCACAATATTGAACAAGTCAGAATTAAATAATATAATTAACAATCTAATTGTAATACATTAATAATTTATTATAGTAGGCTTAGCGTTTGTAAATTCAACTCTAGGCGCCACTTATGCGACCATTAAGGTAGGAGCTGGTAGTCGTCGCAATTAGGCATTGGTTGATGCATTAGGCAACTTAACTATCTTAGTGGTGTTTTAATTTATTGCTATTTATTATTATTGGTCTATTTTTTATGTAATATGATTGCTAATTTCTTTTATTTGATTAGTTGGTATGATATATATGCCCACTAGGCGCAACCCAGAAGTCTGGCTAGCACCTTGCGCTTTCTTAACCAAAGAGTAGGCTAGAGATATGATTTGCAACTATATTTTGAAGTCAGACTAGAGGACATTCCTCGATCAAGTCATGGAAAAGGCATTTCCCCTTCATAAAAAGAATAATTGAAAAGCTTCTTTCAGCGGCTTTTCGAAAGCAAATTTTATTTATTTATTTTTCCATGTAATATATTTTAACATTTCTTATTTATAATAGATTTTAAAGGGTATAATTATTTTTCAATGATAGATAATGTACTTGTTGACATGACAGCGATACACTGTGACCTCAGTCTTCATATATTATCATAAGAGCAGCACATACATATATGCGTTCAATTGGGATACGTGTGTGCGTGTACTCCCTCCGTCCCAGAAAGAAGCGATTTCTGGGGGTGAGGATTTGTCCCAGAAAAAACCGACTCCTGCGCAACACCCGAGAAATATTCAATGATCCTTATCCCTGCCCGTCTCTCTCCTCTCGCCCACCACACAACCGCGCTAAAAAAAACCCACCACCACCGGTCTCATCTCCTTCCTCTCCTCACGACCTTCACCCATCCCTCGACGGCGATGAGTCGCTTCCCCTCCCTCCACGCTCCATCCATCTCTCCCTCCCTGCGACCTCCCGTGATGTCATGGATGTGACAGGTCGGCGGGAGCGGCGCCGGCCCCGGCGGATTGAGATGGCTCGGATGAGGCACTAGCAGCACGGCGGCAGAGGTAGGGGCTTGCGATTGTGATGCAGGAGAAGGCGAACGCAACGTGTAGGTGCTGCTCGGCTACGCCGGCGGAGGCGCAAGCCTATAGTCTCCAGCGCCAGTGGATCTGTTGCAGGGAGCCTGATGCACAAGCTTTTGCAATAGCGGATCTGATGAAGGAGCCAACGATTTTGTGTCTCCCAAAGCTGAGGTGGTTCGAGAAGCTTTGCCATTAGAATGAGCCCAGGTACTCTTTTCTACTACTCTTTTTCCATCACTCTTTCTTCTCTGGTGTTTATTTCTACCCTTTCACCTTGTTAACTATACTAAGTTCTTGGATTTTGGTGATGACTTCTTGCAGGGTCAATCTGGATAAATACACACATGACTACAGGCCACCTTGGTGGATACAAACACCTTTCTTTGTTCTTTCTAGTTCTTGCAGATTAATTCATACTCCTTCTAGATTGTGGAGAAGTATTTTTTGACAGATTGTGGATGCAAACCATCTTGCAGATTGTGGAGTAGTATTTTTTTAACGATTTCTTTTTTCAAACTAGAGGTTCTTAATTTTTTGTTAGCATATTCGGTTTAAAACTTCATTTTTTTTTCTGGATACCTGTGTAATCGATGGGTGCAGAGAACCCAGTTAAACCTTTTTTTTCAGTGAGGACAGTGTAGAGAACACAGTACAATTCTGTGTAATGTTGTTGTTGAGGGCATTTTGGTATTTTCATGGTTGTACTAAGTTTGCATTGGGAATCCAGGAGTTGAATTATTGTGGGACGGAGGGAGTATATCAGCATTTGTGTCTCGTGTTTCAAAACGCAACATCTTGCTAGACTTGTAAATTTGTAACCAAATTAAAATTAGGTCGCACCAATGTACTCCCTCCACCCACAAAAGTTACACATATTATTTTGACATCAAGACCAAGGAAAAACTAAATCACCTTAGATGTTACAAAATTAAGGAGTGAATGTAAGCATGCAACCAATGAGTATTTAGATGACTCCTTGTGTTCTAATAAAACATCTCTTCATTTAATTCTTGAATGCATAAAGATTACAAATAGGAACAACTTATTTGGAAAAACTCAGGAAAAACTTATTTGGAAAAACTCAAATGTAAAATAGGTGTAACTTTTATAGATGGAGGGAGTATGCTTAGACTCTAGCCCGTCACCACGCAACATCATGGTGTGTTCCAACTTCCACCAACAAAGGAAAAAGTACACCGAAGGTCCCTCAACTTGTCATCGGGATAGAAAAACGTCCTCGAACCGCAAAACCAGATATGCGGGGTCTCTTAACTATACAAAACGGTCACAATAGGTCCCTCGGCAGTTTTGATTCCGGTTTTTGTCCTACGTGCTGCTGAGTCAGCGTGGGACCCACGTGGGCCCCACATGTCAGCCCAGCCTTCTCTTTCTTTCCCCTCTTTTCTCTCTTCCCCTTCTCTCTCTCTCTCTCACTCTTCTCTCTATGGCTCTGGGCAGGCCGGCGCCACCAGCCGACGGGTGGGGAGGAAGGCGGCGGCGGCAGCCTCCTCTCCGTGCTCGCCAACGAGGATGAGCAGTGGCGGAGCTGGAGCCACACGCGCGAGGAGGAGGAGCCCTCAGCGCCGGGTCATACCACCCTCCTAGACGCCGGCGACGACGGTTGGGTTCTTGGCCCGTGGATAGCTTCGACGAGGCTCTCTCCTGACCGCCGGCGTGGGGTGCCCGAGATCCAAAATCCCGTCCTGGAGTTCTTCTACCTCCCCTTCCAAAACTCTCTTTTGGCATCCTTGATACAATTTCCCTTCCCTTTCTTTCTTTCCATTTCTTTTTCTTGCTTTAGATTTCTTCTTCTTGCTAATCTCGATCCATCCATCCAAACACCTCATTCTTTTTTCCTTTGATTTGATTCTTCGCTGTCCGTGTTCGTGTTCACGTACCACAGCAACCTGTCCGTGTTCACCTCCCTGCCGGACATGTGGGCAATCGGGCAGATGTTCCCAATCATCCCAATCCAGTGCCTTGGTGAGCGCCCTGCAATCGACGGCGTCCTCTCCGACCTCACCTCCGACAGCGACGGCAAGGTCGACCACTTCATCAGCGGGAGGCACAGCCTGCCGCTGCACGAGCTCCCCGTCCACGGCACCCGCGGCTACTACCTCGGCGGCACCTACCAGGAGGCCCTCGGCGGGCTCCACAACCTGTTCGGCGGGCCGAGCGTGGTGCGCGTGTCGTAGAGCGGCGGGGCCTTCCTGCGCCGACGTGGTCCGCTCGATGCAGCACGAGCACGAGGTGTTCAAGCAGAGAACCGACGGCGCCACCGCCGCCGCACTCGCCAAAGCGTTCGGCGCAATGCCGTACCTGTCGTTCTACCCGGAGGCCGCAGCGATGGCCAGAGGGGAGAGCAGCGGCATGAGCAGCGACTCGGAGGTGTCGGCCGCCGGCGTGGCCGAGGATGATGATGAGTGGGAGTTCATGCGCGGGCTCATCGTGTGACTGAGGCAGCCATCGCCGGCTTCTTCGTCTCCACGCGAGGAGCACCTGACACGTGGGTCCCACGCTGACTCAGCAGCCATGTAGGACAAAACCGGGATCTGAGGGACCTCTTGTGACCGGTTTTGTATAATTAAGCGACCCCACATATCTAGTTTTGCGGTTCGAAGACGATTTTTTATCCCGATGACAAGTTGAGGGACCTTCAGTGTACTTTTTCCACCAGCAAACTACCACTGGAAGTGAACAAATTTGGCCCAGGTTAGAAATCCCGGTCTCTGGCCCAGTTAAGTTAAGAGAAAGAGAGACAGTGTGAACAAATTTGGCCCAGGTTAGAAATCCCGGTCTCTGGCCCAGTTGAGTTGAGAGAAAGAGAGACAGTGTACAAGAGAGGATTAAGTTCATCTGAGGTCCCTTAATTTTACACCGAATCCGATATTCGTCCTTAAACCACAAAACCAGATATAACCGGTCCCCGAGCTGTTAAAATCGGTGCAAACGAGGTCACTCGGCGGTTTTAAAGGCGGTTTTGGCTGACGTGGTGCATACGTGGTTGGTTTGACTAAGGTCTCTTACCACGTGGCATTGACGTGGCGCTTACGTGACAATTATATATCATAAAAATAATAAAAACCATGGGCCCACCTGTCAGCTACACAAAAAAAAATAATTAAAAAATGGCGGGGCCACATGTCAGGAAAAAAAGGTGGGGCCCACATGTCAATACATCCTCTCCTTCCCCCTCTCTCTATCTGTTTCTCTCCCTTCCCTCTCAGCGTCGGCGGCGCGGTAGCAGGCAATGCGAACGGCGGTGACCGGCGGCAGCGTGGAGGAGGGTGGCGGCGCCGTGGAGGTGCGAAGGTGCACGGGTTGACGATCAGGTACAGCATCGCCTTCCCGGCCTGGTCCATCGTGTCGGATCGGCGGCGAGAAGCACCGCGAACCAGTCCCTGGGCCTCGGCATCCACCCCGGCTGCTGTAGCGCCGCCTGGAACGTCATGGCAGCGAACAGCGTGGCCACCACCATCCAGCCATCCGCCGGCGACGGCAGCGGCAGCCTGACGGCCGATGTAAATTGCAAGCACTTCAGCTGAGTTGATTAGCCTGGACAGAATTGGTAGAGTCATCGGCGACAGAATCAATCGATCCATCGATCTCTGGCTCTCTGCACAAAAATCAATGATGTGCTCCAGCTCACTCTCTGAATGTGGAATCCTAACATGATTAATGCCATTGTTTTGTAGTCTGCTCCTGCTTCTTCATGCCTTGTCGTCGTCGTCTTCCGGCGCGCAGCGGCGCGAATCCGGCGGGGCTGGGCGGGCAGATCGGCGGGGCGGAGTGGGGCAGCGGCCGGCGGACGCGCGGCGCGGGCGGAGTGGCGGCGCCCGAAGCCGGCGGGGCTGCGGAGCCAAGCGAAGGGCGCCAGCCTCGTCGTCGTCGTCATCCGGCGCGCAGCGGCACGAAGCCGGCGGGGCGGGGCGAGCAGAGCGGCGAGACGGAGTGGGGCGGTGGCGGCGCGCGAAGCCGGTGGGACGGAGCGGCGGCAATCTGCCGGCGGCGCCCCCAACTCCCTCCGATCTCCACTCCCGCCGCCTGGGCCATCTCCACTGCGCTTCCTCTCTCCACCGGCCGAGCGCACCGCCGAGGTGAGTGGCGGAGGACGTGGGAAGGGCGTCAAGACTGGCCTCGTCCGCCTTCTTGAGGTCGTTGTCCCCGGCGCCGCCGTGACCGTGGCCGGAGAGGGGAGATGGGGATGGAGGAGGAAGAAGTGGTGGGGGGTGAGAATGACATGTGGGGCCCACGTGAGCCCCACCATTTTTTAATTAATTTATGTGTGATACTGACATGTAGGTCCCACAGGGTTTAATATTTTTTCGGATCGAATTGCCACGTTAGCGGCACGTCAATTCCATGTCAGATGAAGACCAAGTTAAATTAGCCACGTCAGCTAGAACCGCCGTTCAAACCGCCGAGGAACTTATTTTGCACTGGTTTTCACAGTTGAAGGACCCGTTGTATCTGGTTTTTCGGTTGAAGGACGAAAATCGGATTCGTAAACAAGTTAAGGGACATCAGATGAACTTATTCCTACAAGAGATAAGCAACTAATTCTGGCCTGTGGTTCAGAGCTCCCAGACACAGAGTCTGGCTTCATGCCGACTGATTCAGCACACACATTGCCTGTCTTATAGTCCAGTTGAATGTAGTCTCTGCAGGACAAATCCGAAATCCCAAAGAATAAAGATTTTAAAAATGTGAAGGGTGATGTTAGAAAAACAACTAATTCTGAAATCACTTTTTATGATTTGTAACCCCTCTTCAGTCCAGGCAATTTAGTCCGAAGACTAGCAGTTCTTATGCATAGTTGCGACCAAAAAAATAGTATGGTAGTATGCAGCAACTACTCCGACAGTTTTGGCTGAATGTTGTCTGGTGCTGGGACTAACACGAAGCAACCAGTAGAGTCTTTGGTACCATCTTGTTATTTATGAATGATGAGTGAAATGTTTACAATGTGTTGACTAAGCTAAGTAATCGCCATCCTCCTTGCAAAGGATCAGCGCTTTCGTCGCCATCGTCCACCTACTAAGATGAGATCAAGTCGTAGTGAAAACAAGCTTGTTAACCGGCCATGATGAACATGATAATTCTCCTTATGCATGACTTTCTGGGGGCATTATAATTCTCCTTCTGGTCCTGACAAGTATGACATGATACCAAACAGCAGGAATAGCACTCCACTCGACAATCCGACCTACATAAGATAAGTAAAAATTGCATCAGATGCAGAGCATTGGCACTCCATTGGCAGTACAAAAGCAGGGTGAAGCAATTGTTCCTACCATTTTCTCAGATATTTGAGAGGCCAAGCTTTTCCCACCCATAACAGCAGCGGTAGTGCAGAGTGCTTGGGCCCTATGCACAGTAGTAGGTTTAGTCAGGACCACATAATAAACCATTTAAAAAGTGTAAGGGAAACAGAAGATGTAGCTCGTACAGAACTCCCCCCAGGACAACACCGAATGGATTTTCATCAGCAGCCAAACCAATAGTAGCAATCTGAGAAGAGATTCAGAATTATTAGCTAATTAACAAGTGCTTGACTGCATTGCAAGGCAGAAGTTGAACTTACTTGACTCTTATCACCCCACTCTCCAAAGAATGTAATGGAAAATGCCTACAGCACAATTACAAAGTACAAACGAGCTTGTTAAAATTCCAGAAAAAACACGAGCACCGTATCTTTTGTCAAATATACCGTGCATATAATCACTTAATCAGTACTAGTTCGTACCTTTATAAAGATTGGTGAGAAGAACTGCAAAACAAATGGTCTTTGCTGCTTCTTTTTATCATCATTTGCCTAAAATTGAACAAGGATGAGTTGCATCAAATTAATAGTGAAAAACAAAGTTGACCAATTGAAAAGGGTAAACAAGCCAGGATTACCATCAATAATTATTTTTTTATATTGCCTATCACCAAAATAACAGCTGCTTTTTTTACTTCTGTTCACAAACATCGAAACAAATAGAGAATTTCGGCTAGTTTTCACCTCTTTCCAAATTTCCTATTTATATAATTCAAAAGGTTGTAAAAATATATACAAATCTAGGTCATGTTAAAGTATGTACAATGTGCACAAAACATGTGTAGTACACATGATCAAATCTTCACATTGACTTTTGCATTGAACTACTTCAACATACTCTACATATATATTGTTCTTAAGAATTCTCTTAAGTACACAAAAATTTTGATAGCTGAATATATCTAGAGATAATGAGTAAGGATGGGAAAAGAAAGGAGCTCAAGACTTCTATTTTCACGGTACACAAGTAGAAAAATCTACAGCAATGAAAGGAGCACAAAAAGTGATTAATAATGGGCACGCCTCTTGTAAACTGACCTTAGATTTACTTTTCGATTCTGCTTTGTTGCTTTTAAAATTAGCATCCTGAAAATTAGGCAAAACTTAGCAATAGGTTACTTGAACTACAGTCCACTATAACATAAGGCATGGATAAAGTTTGCTGACCAGCTCAGCTTCCACTTCAGCCAATTCTTCTGAATCTCTGCATGGTAAGTTATTCAATTACTAAAGTCACTCACTAAAAGACCAAATATTAGTAGCTGAAGGTTAACTGAATGGCAAAGAAGCAGTTAAGTACCCATCTTCTTTGAAGCCTTCCCACAATGACAAAATGCCAAACACAAAGAATAGCAGAGTGGTCACATGATGAGTCCATTTGCGTGATATCTGTTCAATACAATACTATCATTTGCAATATCTTGCAATGTAAAGAATTTGGCAAATTCATTGCAACAATACAGCTGACAGGAACAGGGTCAGTACTATCCACCCTAAGGTACCAGTGAGTGTATCACCCATCCATGCTTAACTACTGTACTTGTGAGGACTATCAATATAAAAATGGAAGTTCCATCAGAAAAAAAGTTTATTACACTATCATTGTCAAATAGAATATGAACACCTATTTAGCAAGACATTGGTATGATTTCTTTAGATCCCACTTTTACTGGGTTTGCTGTTCAAAAATTATCAACCCATTAACCATATTATAATGTAAGCAGCACTCGCTGAGTTCAGCTGTTTAGCACAAGGGCCACTTGACAGGGTCTGATCCAATGTGGATGCAGTCCAGGTGGGGAAAACACATATTTCGACAAATATATGTATACATAATGTGCCAAGAATACGTGGAAGCCTTTAGACATAGTAAAAAAAAAACTTGATGTGCTAATTTTATAGTAGGTCCAATAATTTCTTACAGTGACTTACCAGATTTGGCGCAACCCAACCAAGTGAAACTGATAGAGCCGTCATCACCTGTATTTTTAAAATTCAACACAAATAAGCACACAAAAAGTATGACCCTATACTGATGAATGATTTTTTTTTGTTGAAAATACTCACTGTTAATGAGGTGAGACAACCAGCAAGAACAAGCTTCCGGGGATAGCGCATGGCCAGAATCTTACAAAGGTAGATGTAAAAAGGGTAAGTAAAGCAGTGCTCAAATAATAGCCGTCCAAGCAAAAGGAGAACAAAAGCTTTTCAGAGTGGAGTGTATCACTAGAAAGGAATATGTTCGTCTTGCTATGTCAGACGCTCTGAAACCCACAGCCCCCTGAACCTGAAGAGGCAACATTCTAACCACCGGTGCCTCACTCTCTCTAAGGTTACTATCCCGGTGAAAAAATTTTGTGTGGAAGAGGACAAGCATCTCATTAAAACTAGCAGCAGCCTTGCAGAAAAAGGAGTGGCCAACTCATGTGGCAGGTGAGGAAATTCACAACCGTCCAAGAAACCAAATGCTCTCTCTATCTCTGTGCCAACATGGGCGCTGCATAGAACCCCAGCTGGAGAAGTGGAGAGGTGAACAGGAGAGTTCCCAGCCACAGATAAATGGGACCATTTGAGAACACAAGCAATTCCTAGCCAAATTCACCAGCGGACAGAGGAACGGGAACAAAACGTAGCTCACAATCTTGGCTAAGTAGAAGATCCCGTTCTTAGCAAACAAACAGTATGAATTGGTCCCCTGTAATTGGATACACACCGCTCACCTGCTTTACTACTTCACCGAGATTCACAGCTACAGTCCCAGCTTCCCCTTGACCCCAATCCAATCACCACCAAGAAACGAGCCAAGACCCACACATCGCCGCATTCCAACAAGAGAAAAAAAGAGAAAAAGGAGAGATGACTGCGCATCGGCACCCGAGGGAGGCATATCGTCGAACACCCCGCGCGCGCATCCACACCCTTCTGAGACAAGCAGAACGAACAGGGTCGAGCGAGCAAGGTGGAAAAAGAAGGCGTACCGCGGCGGCGAAGAAGGTCTTGTCGCCGATCTCCGAGAGCACCGTCATGGCCAGCGACTTGGTGAACCCCTGCACCAGCGGCAAAAACAAACAAACAAACCAACAAACCAACCCCGTCACATCCTTCGTTTGCGCAGCAAACACTCGCAACGAGAGAGAGGAGGAGGAAAGGGAGCTGACCCCGAGCAGAGACGGCGCCATGGCGGAGGAGGAGGCGGGAGGAGGGAGGCGGCGCCTGCTCCGATCTCGGCGGGGTCGGGGAGGGGCGATGCGAGGGAGGCGTGGGTTGGGGGTGGGGGGGGGGGACGCAGCTGGTAGTAGTCGTAAATAGCAGCCGTGGGGGGGTCTCCGCGGCACGAGGCGAGGGGGGCGCGCGGCCGTCGGATCGGGGACGGACGGCGCACGTGCGGTGGTGGGTGCACGGCGGGATGCGTGCGTGCCAGCGGCGTGACCGCGTCTTGTGTGTTGTGTGCTGTTACTGCTTTGGTTGCGACGTTTCCCGGGTCATTGGGGACCTGGGGCTGGGGGTGGGTGGGTGAGGGGACTGGTCGATAATAATCCACTAAAATATAAAAAATTCTACTTCCTTCCTTCGTTTCACAGTGTAAAACTTTCTAGTATTATCCACATTCACCTAGATGTTAATGAATCTATATATATTACGGAGGGAGTATGTAATTAGGACAAATTGAAATAGAATTTTTGTAGAAAGTATTTGCTATAATATAGTTTGCTCTAGCTCTAGAATATTTGTAGACCCGCTACTGGTGGTGGCACAACGTGAGGCCGAGGTATGCTTAAGGAAATTTAAGATTACGAGAAGGAGCTAGTTGGTAGTATAGCTAGTTTCTGAGAATACAAGGAAATTGGGTTCATGTTTTTGACATTTTTTTTAAGATTTTATAACAATAGATTAGTTGAATCTAAGTAAAAATTTGGGTTGTTTGGGGAGCTGGAGTTTCTGAGAAACGCTGCAGCAGTTAAAAACTTCATAAACAGAGTTGTGTTTGAGTTGGGAAACCATTTCTGTCTGGCATGCAAAACAAAACAACGAATTAGCACACCATTTATTAAGTATTAGCTTACAAGACTTAAAAAATATTAATATGATTTTTTAAAAAACTTTCCTAGAAAAATATTTTATGAAAAACAAAATATTTCAAGCAACATGTGCATGGAAAATGAGAGAGTGGAAGTTAGAAATATAGAGAGTATAGGACACACCATAATCAGAGTGCAATGTAAAGTATTTTTTTCAAAAAGAAAAAGAAAAGTGTAAAATGTATGCACCCGATTGTTGTAGCAAATAATGGTGGAGGAAGGCATGTTTTTATTTTTGGAAACTCCACATAACTAAAATCACTAGAAAAAGGTACTTTTGTAAAAAAGAAAAGCAATTGACGTGACATTGTGGTGGTTGCTTTGGTGAAAGCTCTATTATTTACTTTTGTTTAATGTAAATAATCAGGACCGGATTTACTAACCATCTCACTATATATGTGCAAAGTCTTAAAATATGACGTCAACGGAAAAAGTTGGGTTTGTTTCTCTCAATTGTCAGAATAATCGGTGTTTTATAACTTAAGTTCGATCTTATCGGAAATAGTGTTGAATTATATGATATATGTTGTTATATCTAATTACTCCACCCGTGTGCTTCTCAATGAAAAAGATTGTGTTAATTAAGATGTCTTGGTACGTATGTCACTACAACCACTAGGCTACATGCCATTTTCATGTATTGCTAGTGCCTGGTAGAGTACTTCTCCTTTTGGATGCCATCTCTAATGCTACAAGGTGTGAGGAACACAATCGGTTAGGCTAGTCGTTATTTTGATGGTCCTGTAAATATATAAGTTATTTTGGATATTTTTTTTCTTTTTGGCAGCAGTACTATCGCCTTTAGTAAAGGACTTGTATCGTAAGGTATGCCTTTTTTTTTTTAGAACTTAAGGTATGTCATCTACAAAATCCTATTTCTCCAGTGTGCATGCTTTTCTTGTACTTCTAGGAGGGCTTTCCTTCTAGCTTGTCAATCCTTTTATCGATGGCATTGATGTTTTTTTCTAGGTTCCAAGCTCAATATGATGGATTTTCGGCCACTAGATTTAATTATTTTTTGTCAAATAAGATACCAAGACAAGGGTCGATGCATGCATGATTCAAGTTTACACATGTCATTTTAGTAGTACTTTGATGCAAGGAATTGGTTTCGCCGGTGAATTAGATAATTGGGTCCCTTAAACAAACCTACCACATAAAAAGAAAAAAGGATAATAATAAGCTATAAGGCTATACTTATATTGAGGAGAGCTAGCTTAGCACGTGCTCTAAGCCAAATACATTAAACATATAAGTGAGAGAAAGAGAGAGGAGAAGAAAAATTGAAACCAACTTTATAACTCTATTATATATGTTAGCTTTAAGATGGGTTAATAGCTGACAGTGAGCTCTGCTATTGAACTTGCTCTAAATACGTAACCAATCTCAATACTCTTTTGCACAAACAACTAACTTGGTGGTCCAACAGGTGATGAGACTGGTTGACATGGCTGAACGTGAAGAAAACCACCAGGTATCCTGCTTAGCATTGTTCATTTTTAGCAAACTTATGAAAACTTAGATTATTGAATTGATTATTGCTATGCATTATCTATTTGATTATAGGAATAAATTAAATATTTTGATAGATAAACTTAATTAATAGCTTAAATAGTCTACTCATTTATAGAAGAAATTTTTTGAGAACATATATTTTTCGAAGCATAGAGTAAATAATCTGTTTTAACAATCCAATGAATGAAGAGAACAGGTCTTAAGGATATTAGCACAGTTGTACTACTAGCTAAGAAAGTTTAAAGTTGACTTTATAGAACTCAAACGGTATTAGAGGTGTCAAATATGTATACTAATTGAAAAAAAATCAAAGTTGGAGTACCCTTTCTTTTTTAAAGCAAGTTCTAAGTGAGTTTGCATGCACAAAACAATTTGATGTTATGGTTCAAAGAGTATGCTAAAGAAATAGTATTGTTGATATTGATAATAGAACTATGATTATTTTTGTGGGAACCCATGGAACGGAAAGATGGAGGTGCGTGGGGATAAGAGCACAACACTTTTTTTAGACAATGATAAGCGTACTGATGTTGACTCTTACATTCTGAACTCTTTTTTCTAAACTTTGTTTGTGTTAATTTGCAATCGTACGTTGTTCTATAAGTAATCGAGTTTTATACATGTTTTTATTTTTAAAATTGTAGATGTGTGGATGATTAATAACATCAATTACCCTTTGATTACTGTATTGTTTGTCAGGAAATGTTAGGATCATTCGATCATGGTACCTAAAATATGTTCGCCGCGCATTTCAGAAATAACTATTTTCGTTTTTCAAGTTGTAATTAATTATTTATCGTCCCCTCAAAGCAGGTCAGACAAGCAATTGTACTGCAAGACAATAGTGTTTTAGATATATATATATATATATATATATATATATATATGTGTGTGTGTGTGTGTGTGTGTGTGTGTGTGTGTGTGTGTGTGTGTGTGTGTGTGTGTGTGTGTGTGTGTGTGTGTGTGTGTGTGTGTGTGTGTGTGTGTGTGTGTGTGTGTGACCAGACCTAATTTTCATCCATCAAAACGAACCTAAAGGTTGGCATTTTCTCACCCCAAGATATGAAGGTAATTAACAGAGCTCAGTGTGTACAACTTCTTTTTTTAAAAAAAAAAATTCAGTGTTACCTGTGCAGATTTTGTACGAGTCAACTAAGCCGTCACGTAATTTATCACCGTCCCAAGCATCTGCATTAAAAAAATTGCCCAGCGACGGTTTTATGTATTTCTACTTTTTTTGTTGTTGTTGTTTCCAAACAATGTCTTGATCTAACCTCGATAACGTTGCAGACAAAAGTAGAAATATATGAAAGTATCAAAATAAATATAAAAATTTCAAATCACAATAGGTGGCACAATGTATCATGTATCTACCCTTTCTCCTTGATGTATGCCTAAGTGGACCCATCGATTCGTGGGATGGCCGGCTGGTACTAAATAAAAGCTATCAAATCTGAATCTGATTCCATTGGTAGAAGATCAAGAAGATTTTGGCTCGTTCTTTTCGGGTTAAGATGTAAATTCTACCTCGAATTTGTTTTTACGGTTTTTAAACTACTAAATGATGTTTCGTGCGAAAACTTTATATGTAAAAGTTGCTCTAAAATATCAAATATATTCATCTGTCAAGTTTATAATAATTAAAACTCAATTAATTATATACTACTTATTTTCTCATTTTAAGTGTCCTTAAGTTAATCTTAATCTTCATGTATCTCATTTGTGTATTTTTTTCAGCCTCTATCATTGGGGTGCTCAGTAGTGCTAGCTCCAGTAGCAAGAGATGTTCTTTATTCCGGTCCTATAGCTGTAGCTGCCTTTTGAGATGTGGGCATGTGGTATATATAAAACTTAATTAATCATATGTTAATGATTTCTTGTTTTACGTGTGCCAATTTAATTTCCATGTGGTGTTTGAAACTGATGAAGACAAATGTTAAGTTGACGCACGTAAAACGAGAAAGCCATTAATACATAATTAATCAAGTTTTAATTATTATAAACATGATAAATGGATATATCTGATATTTTAAAAGTAACTTCTATATAAAAAATTTTCGCACGAAACACACTATTTGGTAATTTAAAAAGCATGCTAATAGAAACCGGGATAAAATTCAAATCTTAATTAGAAAAGAACCGATCGAACAGGAGCAATTCCGATTGGTTTCATTTGAAAATAAGAAATCACCACCAAGCCAACGTAAATCAGACACATATTAATTTATATCACAAAAATATACATTATGTCAGCTGTATTCTTAAAACAACCGTACTTGAGAAGATAACTACCCCTGTTTAGTGGTATAAACATGCCAAGCCTATTTTGTCGCATCTAAAAAAATAAACACCATCATGTGTTTTTTGTGAAAGAGAAGTTCTAGTTTGATCATTCAGATTAATGCATCAGATTGCTATCTTGTGGTTATCCGTTTCTGAATCGATTACATTAGATGACATTGAAACGTGGCAAAAATAATGGAAAAATCCAAAGTTATTTTCCAATTAGTGAAATGGACAGCGTGTCTATAGTACCTGAGCTTAGATACCTCACACAAAGTCAAAGTAAGATTTGCGCAAGAACAAAACAGACGGGAATATTTCTTATTCATCCACAATAGCCGCAAGTACAAATACGATAAGGACGTACTATTAAAATTAGATCTGCATTGAGATAATTAAGTTCGATTAATAACATCACTGTTGATTCTAGTAGTACTATATTTCACTATTATTTTATGAGACTATAATTGTACAATTATAGAGGTCATGAATCATTGCTTCCATTTTTTTTCCTTTTGCGAGGATATTATTTTAATTTCTTTCTGTAATTTTTTTTGTGTACTTGGGATATGCGGCCAAATGTTGCTGTCAAAGTGTCAATGAACACGCCAACAGGTACTGCATACTAATTTGTATTTTTAGGACCAAATAACAATGCAACAAATAGTATTTGACTTTGTAGAAAAAAAAAGCAAGGCTGTTAATTATTGAGGGCTAGAAGTTTGACTCTGCGAGGATGAATGACAACGAAAAGAAATTAAAGGTCGGAAACTAAAACATGTGAAAGGAACTTAATAAATAGCAGAGGGTAGCTCGAGAGGGTTGATGTTATGTTCCCTTATAATTTGATAATGACATCTTACAAGATATAAAAGTGACGATCGAGTTGAATGAAATCTACACTCCCTCCATCTATTTTTGATAGTCATATTTCCAAATCTGAAAATTTTATTTTTGATAGTTATATTTCAATCCCCAACATATCATCTTAATGACTTTCTCGGATTTAATGCGTGACTCTCCATTCTTCCACATATGATTGGCTACATGGGCATTAAGAAATGTAAATATTAATGAATCACTTGTTTACGAGGAATGACTAGTAGCATGTTTAAATGAATGATAAGTAGAATTACTTATCCTTGATCTGTGTGCCAAGATGAAATATGACTATCAAAAGTAGATTGAGAGAGTAATAATTAGCCTTTTTCCATCACTAATCTAGGTTTGCAGTCTTCAAGAATAAGCTGTCCACTGCTTTTTAATTTTCTTGATCGTTCGGTTTTTATGCTTTTAATGGCTCCCCTATCACCAAAATTCCTCATGTGTAGGGTACTGGCGAGACAATATCAGGTGCTAGGCTGCTAGCAAATAGTGTTGTGCTACCGGGGTGCTATTAAACTTAAAAAGTGTATTGAAAAAGTCACAGACCAATAAAAAATATCTTAGGTAGGCAACACTATGGCAAGTAGTAGTATCACATAAGAAATCAACTCAAAATTCAATGTACACGTTGAGAAAAAAAATCTCATGTAAATAGTATTGCGAATTGTTTGAACACTATTTGCAGCACGGATTTGTCTTTCTTGTTTTCTAACATCTACATCAAATTTTGAGTTGATTTTTCTGTATGGTACTACATATGATAGTGTTGCACATCTAAAAAAAAATCACTTTTTTATTGACTTTTTAATGTACTTTTAAGTTTAGTAGCACGTATGGTAGCACTGTGCTGTTTGGTAGCAGCTGAGATTCTCTCAGGTATTGGCTACTATACAAAACTGATTTTCACAAATGACATTCCATGTAAAAAGGCATAAATTCACATTGTTTTTAGATTTCCATTATTAAAAAAATCGAGGGCCTTAGCAATTTTAGCAGGAGGAACTAACTTATACTAAAAAGGAAAAAAAATGCTTAACCCTTTGCAGTTTTTTACACTTGCTGGGAGCCCTGAGAATAGCCTGAGAGCGAAGGCCCAGCAATTACACCCATTCTTTGCATGGGCCTAAAGTTTGGCCTGCACATGCATGGGCCTATTTCGACCCATCAAGAAGGCCCAAACCGGCGAGAAAAGCCTATGGGCCGAAACAATTACGGCCCGGCCCAAAGGTAGCGGAATGCCGCTTCGCGAATATTCGGGTTCCGGGGGAGAAGAGAGAGAAAGAGACGGAGCGAGACGTCGTCCTCTTCGCTTCAGCTCTTCTTCTCCCCCACCACGAGGGAGGAGAAGATCCTGTCGGGATCGGAATCCCCCCCTCCTCCTCCGCTCCTCGCCCTCTCCGTCGAGGAGGAGGCGGTGGTGGTGGTGGTGGCGCGGCCGCTCCAACAATCGCGAGGTGAGGTGAGCCTCGCTGTGCTGTTTTTTTTTTCCTGCTTGTAGATTCCGGCAGGTTCCTCTTGTCCAGCGAGGAGGCGTTCGTAGGCATGTAGACTGCGAGATAGGCCGTGGTTGGTACGCCGGCCGCCGGCGAAGAGCACCGGATTCGAGAGAGGGGTTTCGCCGCGGGGCAGTTTGGTCGAGCTTAGGTTGCTCCCTGCGTCGGCGCGGGAGGGAGAGGGCTGAGCCGCTGAGGTTTTGTACTAGTTCGCTTCCATGTGTTGGATGGCTTTTTCATGCATGGTTGCTGCGCAACAAGCAGCGATGGCTAGCAAGGGAGTCCAGGGGGTCCTTGCTTTCTCTGCCTCTTTAACCGCCAAGCCGATGTGAAAGTGTACTGCAAACAACTCGTTACCTTATTTGGACCTAATTGTGGAGCACAATGAGCAAGAAATGTGCGCAAATTTTTCCTTTCGTTCATGGCATTGGATTAGCCATACATAACAGAGCAATTGTCAAAACCCATTTCTGAATTTTTAGTAAGCTAGAAAGGAAATTTTGTGCTCTGTACTATGGATACGCTAGCTACTTTCATGCATGTACCTATATATATACACGCCAATTTTGTGTTTGTGTGGAATATGCTTGTGACACTTAAACAATGCTTTACCTTTTGATCTTTTTCTTTTTTCGAACAGGAGTACCATTTGTTCTTCTTAGTTAATAGTGTTCACATAAATAAAGTGAATAAATGGGAGTCCGTGAAGATTCAAGACCTTTGGGAGGTCTAGATGGACTCTACGGGGTACAACTTGCAGGCCGGTCAATGTACAGTGATGATGAAGCCGTCAAAACTAGCATTATAGATCCTTTGGCTCGTGAACCGCAGGAGGGTGTTGGCACAAGCCGAAGATTGCTAATCCGGTGAGTCATATGGTTGTGTGCACCAACACGAACACGGGGAATACTATCCCAAAATTTGTCCTATACATAAAGAATTGTGCCTAACTTAACACTTTGTTTTGCGTTGGCAGGCGGCTCTGGCAGCAGAGACCCCCATGTCTGAGGCCTATCCACTGTAGTCTCTCATGTATGTACAACCAACTGCAATGTTATCAATACAAAATGGTCTAGTATCTTGTTTGCTGATCTGATTGTTCAAATTGTTTTTGGATCAGGCGATAAACATCCGGGCGAAACTATTGCTAATGTTGTCACCTCTATTCCTTTCATTGTTCTTGGGCTGCAGACACCAAGGCGAGTACATTTCTGAAACTTTCAAATTGATCGCTTAAAGAATTTTTTTTGTTTGCTACCAAGTGCCAACTAACAGTCATGTGCCAGTCCTGCAGAAAGAACTTGAACACTGCACTTTACGCGAACTCACTAATTGGAGTTGGAATAGCTTCTAGTTTGTATCATACGTCAAGAGGACGAATCAGAAAATATATGCGATGGGCAGACTATACAATGATTGCCACTACAACACTTGTAAGTGAGATATTCTCGTAATATGATTGTTAAACTTAGATCAGAATTTATGCTCCGCGTAAAGATGCCCATTCTGAGAAGAAACATGGCATACATGTAATAAGTAACTTGGTTTGTTTCAAGTTTTCAACTGCTTGATAACCATATCTATATTGCAGCTTGACACATACAAGCCGGTTCCTGTATGCATATTTGGCATATCATCATTCCTCAACACTATAAGCTGCGCATTACACCTTTCTTCTTAGATTATAGCTGCTTTTGTGTTACACTACGACTGCAACCTGGATGGTTCATGCAAAGTTTTCTCTTTTTTTTTTTTTAATCTTCTGGAGATTTTGACTTGCCATGTTTCATGTAGTGTTTAAGCAGAGCACTCCGAAATGAGCATCCAAAATTACTGATGGCAGCATCCACATTGCTCCTACCTTTCCAGCCATTGGTGGTTTCAGCCGTCCACACTGGGATAATGGAGGCGAGTACTTCAAAGCTAATAATACGCTATTTTCTGACTGCAACAAAGAGTCTTGGGATTTTGATTTTCTCATTCTTTTTTCTTTTGCTGAGTTGGCCAAAGAGATGGCCAACCAAGTTGTATTAAGAATATGGAGATTTTCTCATTCATGCTGCACACATCCATTACCTATCCCATCCAATTCTCGAACAATTGTAACTTTCTCTGTTCTACCTCAGGTTTCATTCGCGAAGCGAGCATCCATGGAACCAGAGCTCAGGATGGCCCATAACCTACACAAGATGTCCTCCCTACTGGGAGGCGCGCTGTTCATCGCCGACGACGCCTTCCCGGAGACCCCCTATCTCCATGCGGCATGGCATCTAGCTGCAGCATTGGGGGTGGGCACATGCAACAAGCTTCTTGAATGATCACGTCCTTCCTGCCTATCTAGGCTATAGCTAGTTTTCAACAACCAGTTGATATGAATATGATAGCATTATAGCAATACATCAACCTGCCGACACTGATCGCGTCACATTGTGTAGGTTCACATTGAACCGGAGAAATATTGGCACAGTAGGGTAGACTGGTAGTGCATTCATAGCCAGGTGTATATGGTACCATCTTGTGCCTGTATTACTGTATATTGTAGTCGTATGTTGTATTGTTGTTCCGTGAATAATGTACCCTAGTATGTAAACTTTGGTCTCAAAGAAATATATATATCGTAGCTAAACATGCATGTTCACATAAACTGAATGTAATATTTTGGCAGTTAAATAGTTCACACTAAACGGAAACTTTTGCATCTCAATGTACTATTTTTGCAGTTCAATAGTTCATTCTAATCTATATATTTGAAATTGTTCTGCTAATCTGTAGCAACGTGCAGGATAATATATACTACCTCCGTTTTTTAATAGATGACGCCGTTGACTTTTTCTCACATGTTTGACCATTCGTCTTATTCAAAAAATTTACGTAATTATAATTTATTTTGTTATGAATTGTTTTATCACTTATAGTACTTGAAGTATGATTTGTATCTTATACATTTGCATAAAATTTTTGAGTAAGACGAATAGTCAAACATGTGAGAAAAGTCAACGGCGTCATCTATTAAAAAACGGAGGGAGTACTTTCTCTTCTAGCCTTTTAGGTTGGTTTTTTATAGGACGAAAAGATTATTACAATATATAAATGTAATGCCATCTAAAAAAAGAACCAATCTTGTAGCCCTCTTGATTTGAATGAAGAATATGGATTTCTTTTTTGCAGGATTTCAATGCTATAGAAAATTTTTCTAACCGCCCCTTCGAAAAAAAAGGATTTCACACTATTTAAATCCTATGAAACATCTCCATCCATGCAAGTTTAAAGAAATTTTAACACAAGGTCTAACAAAAACAATCATTCCTATATTTCTTTTGATTATATTTTACAATTCTCTATTTTACACTTATATTTTCATCAAAATCCTATATATTTTTTATTTTTTTCCTAATCACGTTTCAAAGGAGCCCATGGTAGTGGCTGCAATGGCGTATAATTAAAAATACGCCATCAGCTGTAGAAGGCGTTTAGTCCAAAACCCGCATCCAGCTGACCCGTTCCTCCTGCGGTCCCGCCCAACCCAAACCTCTCACCATGCTCACCGCCGCTCCGCTCCTCTCGCCGGCGCCGGCGCCGCCGCCGCCGCCGCCGCGGTGCCACGTGGCGATCCCCCTCCGCTGCCACGCTCCAACCCAGCAGGTTGCCGCCGCCGCCGCGGATCGTGGCCTCCTCCTCCGCGGCGCCGGGTCCCCCGTGGTGAAGCGCGCCCCCGGCGGCTGGCTCCTCTGGTACCAGTGCGGCGCGCGCGTCGCGCTCGCCGCGTCCACCGACGGCCTGCGCTGGGGCCCACCCGTGGAGCCCGACCCCCTCGTGGCCTCCACCGACTGGTGGGCGTTCGACACCGCGGCGGTCCGCCCCTCCGACGTGCTCCTCTTCTCCGGCCCCGACGCCTCCGCCCGCAGCGGCTTCCCGTCCTCCGCCGTGTACTGGCTGTACTACTCCGGCTCCACCGACGAGCGGTTCGGCTCCCCGTTCCCCGCCGCCGCCGCCGCCGCCGCCGCGGAGGACGTCCCAGCGCTGCCGGGGCTCGCCATCAGCCAGGACGGCCGCCACTGGGCCCGCATTGAGGGGGACCACCACACCGGCGCGCTGCTCGGAGTCGGGGAGGAGGAGGAGGGTGGCGAGCCCCGCCGAGGGTGGGAGGCGCGCTGCGTGGCGGCTCCCAAGGTGGTGCTCCACGCCGAGGGGGACCTGCGGATGTACTACCACTCGTTCGACGAAATGTCTCAAAGGCACGCGATTGGGTTGGCAAGGTCCAAGGATGGCGTCCGGTGGAGGAAGGCGGGCAAGGTGCTCGAGGGCGGCAAGGCTGGGTCGTTCGACGAAGGCGGGGTGCGGCACGGGCATGTCGTCCGGGACCGTGCAGCTGGGCGCTATGTCATGGTGTATGAGGGTGTTGATGCCAATGGACGGGTGAGCATTGGGATGGCTGTGTCGGAGGACGGGCTAAAGGGGTGGAGGCGGTCCAGTGAGTTGCCAATTCTGCGCCCATCAGACGACGATGAGGGGTGGGATAGCACTGTGGTTGGATCCCCGTGTTTGGTGCAGATGGATGGAGCATATGATTGGAGGATGTATTACACGGGTGTTGGGAGGGATGGTGAGGCTGCGATCGGAATGGCATATTCAGAGGGGCACGGTCTTCAGAAATTTGAGAAGTGGGATGCTGTCCTCATGTAAGGTGAGATCTTCAGAAATTCGATAAGTTTGGACTTAGGAGGAATGTAAATGTGGAGCTTCTCCATGACCCTTTTGGTAATGTTAATCATGAAATTATTCCATGTTAAATTAACTTCAAGTGCTTATTATAAATCAATTCTTGCAATTTTTTTCAAAAATTGATTTTTGCATTTTTAGGTGTCAAAATAAACAAAACCCATCCTAGTGGATTTGTGTGGTAAGGAAAAACGGGTAATCTATTCCTTAAAAAAAATCTTGGAGATTATGTAATGCTTACTCTCAAACTTTTTGTTTATACAGTAGTGATATTCTTTGTTTCCCTCTTTATCTTTGGATTCTTATCTAATGATCCAGGACGTAATACTAATTAATGATTCCACTTTCTGCAACTAATTTTAAATTAACTTCTAACTTACTGATCGATCCTGCTTTCCGCAACTCTGCTATCAGTGCATTGTTCTTCATTTTCTAATATTTATATTCATTATATCTATCATCAACAACAATATATAATAAATTAATAAGCTGCAAAGTTCCAAATTTCATTGGATCAGCATTGAACACTTCAGCAGTATATCCTGATATAGTGGATGCCAAACGTTACCAGGATGTTTATTGACTGTAAATTTTGCCTCATAATAGTTTTACTATGGTATTTGCGAAATGATTATATTCAGAGGTGGATCTAGAATTTATGGTGTGTGGGGGTTGGATGGCTGGATGCACCACTGATGATGAATTGTGTCTTTGAAGAGTAGTCCTGCAACAACCACATCATGCTGAGTGTGGCAGTGAACATGCTAGTCCCAGGATACCAGTTGGAGAAGAATGTATTAGAGAGCAGCTTGCATAGCGATGTTGTCAAATCTTGACAGAAGGATTGTACATAGCGATGTTGTCATCCATCGCTCCACAAAATTCCAAACAAAAAAACAACCTGTGAAAGGTGAAGCAATAAAGAGAAAAATGCAATACAATCTCCTTTAAATTTGTATTCTTTTTCCACAAATATTTTCCTCCATGTGTAGAACTTATATTTCAAACTTTTTCGAGTGATGGATCATACCATTACCGCTATTACAAATCTTTCTGGAAGGTGCTTTATGAGTTGAGAGTACCTAATTTGAGGTGCTTCTAGAGCACATGAAATGTACCTGTACATACTCAACATGAAAGAAATAAATTACTGTTTTTTCTTGCTAAATGATAATATCCTGAAAGCATTGTTTTGGAAAAAATATTCTTGAAACATGCAGAATTGCGTACGACATTAGAATTGACTACAATACCACATAATAATGTCCAATGAAGTAAATCAGGAATTAAATTGACATGAGTTAGATGCAGAAGTTATAGTAGTTCGATAGTCTTCTATCCCACAGTACTAATCATATCAAATACATTTTTCTGTTATGCTTGCAATGTTCCTTTTTCAAACTATTGTATTCCTTTGCGACTACAAATTATAAGTTATGGCTAGAAATGTTGAAGCATCATATTTGACCATCTGCATCATGCAAAATCAGATCATTTATTCAGTATTTACATTAAAAGGGAAAGAAAAACGGATGTTATAATAGCTTTTCATGGAGTAAACTTATAGTTGAAAAGTTCAATACCTACATCCACATTAAAAATCAATCACTTATCGACAAACCATACTTGATACAATGTCTACCTGCATTTGTACCTATTTGATTGATTATATCTGATCTATGTATCCTAATTCATGTACATACTCTGCTATGCTATATGCACATGGAGTCTCTATAGTCTTCCATGTGCTAACTTTCACGAGTGAAAGTTCTGAGCCACTGCTTTGGGCACGTCAATGTTCATATGGCATGACTGCATGAGTATTGCTACTTGCCTAAAATGTAAAATTTACTGTCTATTCCAATATTTGTTTTGAATTATTTTACCTCTGGGAGAAGCTAGTTCTAAATACATAGCATGTTAGGGCATAGGACCACAGTCAAATGTGAGTTATCAATATTAAAGTCAAGCTTGTTATTACATGGTAACTATTAAGTTCTAGGTAGTGCCATGTGCACAAGCAAACAAATAAAAGATACAAGTGCTTACCTGTAAGATAAACTTGCCAAAAAATGCTCAACAATACTCATATACTGGTGTAGATGTTATCTTGTCCAGGCCTCCCTTGTTAGCCTAGCTTCCATAGCACTCTGCTGATTGCTGGAGGTGCACATTATTAGATGTCAAGGATACCTCCTTGATTTTGATTGTATTTATCTTGTGATGTGAATCTTGGACAGAAAATATGGTAGAAAGCATGTTTCTCTGTACTTTTTCATGGGCTGTCCTTGATCATTTATCATGCTGCTGTCAACGACTCAAAGCTAGGCTTGCAAAAATGATGGAATGTTTTTTGCAGTTTGCCTGTATGAACAGAATTTACACTTCTTTCCTTTTCTTTACCACATAATTTTCTAGTTCTCTTCCACAAAAAACTTCAAAACAATAGCTGTTGTTTCTTTTGGTTGATGGTGAGTTCCTGCCCTGCAAAGCTAAATCAACTTTTGGCCCTGCTTGGTTCAGCTTTTTCATAAAATCCAAAGCTAATTTTGATTTTCAGATTTTCATTTTTAAAAATAGTTTTAGGTAGGCCTACGACAATGGCATATCCTGTATTGCATTTCAAGGCTTGCGTTGATCTATACTCATGGTGTTTTTTTTTCTTATCTAGAATGCAATAGCTATGGCAAATTGGCAATTGTACCATTTACATGGACATGGTAGATCCAATATTGTTGTTAGTCATGTAAGTTTTTCTCTGTCCTGATACACATGACGTTGTCAATGACCACCATAATTTTATTTTTAAGGGGCTACGGTGTTGAACAAATAGGTACAATCTTAATCCAGTACAAGGGGTTGATCTGTTTTGAAAAAAAAAGCCATGTGCAGAGGGAAGAACCTGTACTACAGGCTTGAATAATGCAATGCTGCATAGTTATTTCATTGGGGGCCATGGTTGTCCTTACTTCCTTCATTGTGAGGTAAGTGTTTATCCATGAATTTCCTTGTATCTTATGTGCATCTGTCTTTAGGATGAAAACACCTTTCTCCTATTCTCTTCCTAAGAGTAACAGTACAATTTTCTTTCTAGTGTTGTATTTGTTGATTATATCATTTCCCGGACATTTTGAATCCAAACATCTTTTTATCCATCTGTATTGTATCCTGTCCACTAACTTTTTTTTTTGACATTCACAAAATGCAAGTGCAGTTTTTTTATGGAAAAGCTGCAAATGAATCTCCTTATTCCTGTGATTTTATCTAAAACATTCCTATATGTTCCATATCCACCTTTCTATAACTTGAGTATTTTGATTAATGCACCTGAATATATGCCAGTACCCATGAGTATTGTTACTGCTGCTTTGAAATATGAACAATTGTTCATCCTGTTTTCATCTGTCATGTTTCCAGTGGCTATTTGCCAGTAATGAATACGATCCTGAGTGAGAAACTACTCGAAATTCAGTATTATTTTCAATAGTGGGGTTTTTAGGCACTCTAAGATGTCACTGACTTTTCTTAACTGTTCAATTAATATATTCATTGCTTTTATCCTTATGAAGGAATGGAAGACTAAAGGGCTTGTATTGGATCAACTTAAATTTCAGTTTTGGAGTAATGCAATTTTCAACCTTCTTTTCGTAACAAACATATGGTAAAAGGACTCGAAGAGGGTTAAAACTTGATAAGATAAAAGGACTCGAAGAGGGTTAAAACTTGACTTTACAGCACTGGTTAATCATTCTGGTTCCGTTTCCAAATCTAGGGAGACAAGGCAACCTGGGCGTTGAACTAACAACTGTAAAGTCCCTGAGGGCATTAATTGTACTGTCCCTGCTATGGTCCTGGAAGGTGGAGGCTGACATAGAGTAATTTTCAGTTTTATACCAATAGAAAGGTACTGACAAATTGCAATCTGGTTTATTTACTACATCCCCACAGGCCCACGGTACCCTAATATTTCACAAATGCGTGGAGGAAAAATTTGCAAACTGCGGAAGCAGTTGTAGACTCTTGTAGCTTCTATTTTCTTTGCTCTTTCAGTTTCTTTTGACATTGGATGATCCAATGGATTTGCTCAGAAGGCCTTTCTTAAAAAGTGGAGAGGACTCTGCTCTAGAGCAAAGGTGGCTGCAGGGGTGGCTGCTCTGAATTCACCATACTGAAGATGCCATTCCAATAGTTCTTATTCTCTGCATCTTCTGACACCTGGCTTCTTTGCTCATCTTGGCCATTGCTGGACTCATCCCAGCATTCTGATGTATCATGCATATTGGATCCATCAAGCAGCATGCCTGTGAAGCCTGCTCCGATATTGGCTGTCCCTGGGAACCATGACTCCTCACAGCCAATGAAGTGTTCTTCTGTCTCTTTACCATGCATTCCCTGCAGTTGTTGCTTACTGACAAACTTCCACTCACTTTCTTCACCCTCCAGTTCATCGCTTCTTTGCTGCCACACATTGGAGTTGCTTTCGGATAATTCTAGGGCGGTTGTTGTTGAGAATGGCAGCATGCTAGCATTACTCCCTGCGAACGTCAGTGTGGAGGTGGGTGACTCCAGGTCTATCTTTGCACTCTGCCATGCATTCAACACATCGAAGCATGGAGAAGGTGTTGAAGCAGGTGGGTTGGTTGACTGTGCATGGAGTTTGCTTGGTGTAGAAGCTGCTATGCGCATCTTGGATTCTCGAGCAAGCCGTGCCTCGGCCTCGAGGCGGGCACTCTCCCACTGAGCCATGTGGCTGAGACTGGCTGTGACTTTGGCTGATTTGTCTCCCGCCGTGTTGTTCAGAGTGCCGTTGATGGCTTTGTGGGTGACAGGATCAATTCCCATCTTGGCCAACCTCTTTTTCAGGTGGGTGTTCCAATAGTTCTTGATCTCATTGTCAGTGCGCTTTGGTAGATGTGTTGCAATGGCAGACCACCTGAACAGGAACAGGGGAAAACCTTGTGAGCTTAATATTCAAGGATTTTTGTTGTTCTTTTGTTTGCATCAATCTTAGAGGACAGCCGGATGCAGAGATGAAGTGACATAACAAGAGTTCAAATTCAACATGGAGGCAATATTCATATTTTCTTTTTGCTTGCAGATGTGATGGAAATGGATGCATATGCTTTGTTATGAAGTGTCAGACAACAGTCTGACAGGGCCTGACAATGCACTTTATCTTATCCGGTAAACAAAGAAGTCATGATTTTTCAATGATGTTGCAGCAGAAGGATCACTACTACTGTAAAGGTAACTTGAAGAGGGAAAAATCTTGAGTGAACTGCTTCATTGTTACCTGTTTCCAAGAAGAGCATGAAGTTGGATGATGGTCTGCTCTTCTTGTAAGCTGAATTTTCCTCTCTTGATGTCTGGTCTCAGGTAGTTTGTCCATCGCAACCTGCAACTCTTGCCGCACCTCTGCAAACCTGCAATATGTTGACCAAATTCTCACTAAATTTCATAGCATTTTACCTACATTTCTTTGCAAGAGGGTGAAATTCAGGTCTGTCCAAACTCACCGGCTTTTGAAGGCAATGCTCGCCAGCTGCCATGTCCATGCTCCTCAATGTATGCAAGCAGCTTCTGGTCTTCCTCTGGTGTCCATGGACCTTTCTTCAGGCCAATCTTCTCACAGCATGGTGAACGCCCCATTGGAGTAGTGCAATATGCTATCTAGCAGAAGCCTAGAGCTGGCAGCTGGGTGTGGAGAATGATATATAGAGCTGGAGAATGGAGGAAGACGAGTTGAAGCTATAAATCATTAGCATGGTATGAAGGTATGAGCCCTAATTTTCCATGCCTTATCATGACATAAATGGCCTTGTGACAGCTTTTTCCAGTGTAACCGTATAAGTTACTTAGGTACAGGTAGATGCACAGCTCCACCATGATCAACAGATGCAAGAATAACGTAACAAACAAATGACTTCAGTTGGGGGTGAGTTTAACAATTGGTCCAATTGACTATGGCCCATGAATTGAAAACTGCAATAACTCCACGGTGATGAGACCCCACCCATGCCACCAAATCCAGGTTGGTGATGGGGTAAACAAAGCAATGTTCTTTTCTCCTTTTTTTCCCCCCTGAGGTGTGTGATGGTCAAGGTCCTGGTTTGTTTACTATAGGACGGTCGTCTTAAAGTCATTTGGACTCTGGGTTGGAAATATAGGAGGGGAGCATTAAGTGTTAACTTGTTTTATTTGTAGATAACTAGTATGGTACTCTGGAGAGGTATGTGTTGTTTTAGCAGCCCAGCACAAGGGGTTTGATGGTTGATCTGTATTGGGCCTATTGGCTATTTGGCTTAAAAATGTCTGGAACTAGAGATTTACCTCGGTGAGCAGTTATAGATGGTGTGCAGCTTGTTTTTAGCAAACACTGCTAGTGCTTGTTTTTAGCTAACTATATATAGAGTGCAAGTTATTTTTACTAATGCCTGCTTCTAATGCATATTTGATTTATGTATGGTTTCTATTTTGGTTTTAGGTTTAAATGAAAGGACTAAATAGTTGAACATTAAGTCAGAACAATTTATGAATTGCGAATGTCTTGTAGAATACCAACTACCAAGTCATTGCTTCAGTGAGACGTAGAAATGGAAGGATGTGTCAGGTCATTGAAGCTTTGCTTTACAAAAGACAGAAAGAAACAGAAATGAATATGATTGCAGCCTTTTACGATGAACGGTGTTAATGTTTGCAGATATTGCTCACCTGGCTAGCTGAGTTGTGAGCATTATAAATGTGCGATCAGTGATTAAAAGCAATAATAAGATACTGCAAAGAAATATATTAGTTACATAAATAGAAATAACACACAATTGAAAATACCATGTCATATAATTTCATCTCCCTGCCTTGACAGTTCCCATTCACTGTTTACCATAGTAATCATATCCATTGTTTGTTTGTATTAATGTTGTCAAGCTAATGTCAGAACAAATTAACAAGTAATATCATGTCGTGTAAAGAACTACAGTTTGGTTTGCTAACACTGATTATGCTTGATCTTTTATAGCGCTACGTAATACATTATATGATCTAATATTTTTGTGATCTGTCTTTAATTAATTATACTGGGGGTTATTTTTATATGATCCCAGTTTCAGTTTCTTTAATACTACCTCCGTTTCAGGTTGTAAGACTTTTTAGTATTGTCCACATTCTTATAGATGTTAATGAATCTAGGCACACATATATGTTTAGATTTATTAACATATATATGAATGTGGGCAATGCTAGAAAGTCTTATAATATGAAACGGAGGAAGTATCATTTAAAAGAAGTTCCAAAATTCAAGGTTTTTTACTGATAAAAATGCATGGAATGATATTAAAAAAAATCAATTAAAGAAGAATTTGCAAAAACAATGCCTCTTATATTCCATCTATAAGGTTCATATGGAATCAATGTTTCTTAGGTATACAGAGAAGAACAGAAAAGACCATCGATTGCATGAAGAAAGAGAGAGGTAGCTAATCCTTATTACTGGTCTTATGTTCCAGTTACCGTGATAAAAATGTCTGCATGTCATCTCTTTCTCCCTGGAGTTCAACCTGCTTTTGAAACGAAGGGCAGGAACTCTGCCTCATTCCTAACAGAAGAATAAGAAAACAAGCTACAAATCCAGTCAAAAACACCACAAAACCGGCTCATGTTAACTAGCATATTTACTGGCTCTTCTCTAGTAATTCTTTGACCGTAGTATCTTAATCAAAAAGCACAGGAGTTTCTGATATCACTGCCCTGCAGCAGGAATATGTGGTGACAGAAGAAACAGAAGGACGCAAGAGCGAGCGATCTCTACATCGGCAGCTACAGTGATTGGACTATTAGCTGATGATATCTCCACAGTGCCTTACTGTGAAGATGCACAGCCTCTTAAATGGCACCAGATGGATGGTCTCCCCCGATTACCTTTCCTTGAGGTATGTCTTGTTTAGCTCTTTCCCACAGGGGCAGCACTTTTAAAGCACGCATATAACACAATGCTTGTATTCAAAGCGGTCCAAACTGCAAAAGCGGTTAGCGCCCCACTGATGCACTGAAGGCTGTCATAATACTTCAACTATTGAGTGGTTCAGTGTGTGAACATTGCAGGTAAAAATGTTTTATCTGTCACTGTAGACGCGCAAAGATGAAAGAAGACAGCCATAAATACTTTCTGGCCTGGGTAACCGATCGGTTCAGTAAAACACCATGGGTGCTATCTTGAGTTCTTGACTTCTTCCATGTAAACATGCAAACACCATCTTGCAAGTCCTGACTCTGCATTGGTATGACCTTTCGATCTCTATTAGTATTATTTTCTGACAGTCCTTTGCATCTGCTATGCATAAATAACCTACGTTTAATACTTCAAATGTGTATCTGTATAAGTCAATTTTTTTGCCAAAACAACTAAACACGGCTCTTTAGGAATTCAGAGCAGGAAAACTCTGCCTAAAATTTATGAGTCTAAAGCCTGCATATGCAGTGGTGTCAGTTTCCGCACTGTTTTGCGGTCAGGTGCAACCAATCTGACCTAATTAGAATGTTGGATGTTGACATTAGGTGCGATAACCATGAGGTTTGACGAGTAAAGTAACGTCGGCATGAAGATTAATCCCATCATTTGCCTAATTCCAGGACACTGTTAGCTACAGACGATTTACGGATCATAATTTAATGTATTCACTTGTAGCACTATATGGTTATTACTGCTGATCATTTTCCACGTGAAAGACAAAATGTTAGGTAGCAAGGGGTGGTTCTTCCGTGCAAGCCTCTGGCAGTGGCTTTCCTTTGCTTGCGCCTGAGTTGTCATGTAAATTGTAATTTTCTGATGTATGTAATTTTGTTCTTTTATCCAGAGGCAGGACATGATTGAATGAAAAACCCAACAGCAAGCTGACATCAATGTTTTTCTACGGTTTTTACGTCAAGAGATTATGACATGACACAAGAAATGTAGACAAGATTGTCACCTTGTAGAAGGCAGGCATTTTATTTCCCTCTGTTGTTAGCATCTTTTATACACATTTGGTAAAAAGGCATACTAATTCATCATTCTGCAGATCCATAGGAGAATAATTGATTAGAGCCGGACCATACAGGTATATACAGTATTGGTTATATTATCCTTTCGATGAAAGTTGTCTTGAGGTGACTTCTTTCTTTTGTTATAAGCTGAATACATATATTACAGATTTACAGTACCTTCAAAACACTGTTTCTCTTGGGTATTAAGATGAAATCAGGTAATCATGGATTAACTGTTTCTGCTATCGCCAGCTTCATTAACGGATACATGCAGGGATTATCTGATTATCCGGGGAATGTCCAACTTGACTTCAGTTGCCGTTGGTCACAAGTAAAAATTGACATGTCCAATCATTAATCCATCCATTATATTATTGATTACAAAGAGCTGTCATTTTTCAAACTTCAAATCTATATGGTTTTGGACTCAATCATGTCGGGTGCTAACTCAAGATCGTTGAGATCCACACGGCTTGCAGGATAACGAGAAGAGAACAAGTCATGGAAATATCGACACGTGACAGGGATGTATCGATATCGGACCTCTTCTCGAGGACCTCCCATGTTTTCATGATTGATGACGCGATTAGCATTAACTAATCCTATCTTTTATTCCTTATTGCAAGTTGGTTTTTCTTATTATGAGTGATCAATGCAAGCTAGTGCTGGAAAGAGGAGAAGAACAAGCAATTAAAGCTCAGAAGCAAGTGGCAAGTGCTGATGATTGACAAAAATAGACTAAACACACCCATCTATCAGGATCGTATCTTCGTAGGTACGTATACTCTTATACGTTGGTGCTTATTTTGGGTTGGTTTGTATACACAAAGAATGTTATGCAAATTGGTCAATTAGTTGCATGAATATTGGCTTTGAACATTCTTCTGCAATAATAACTACTTTTTTATACAACAATTTGTGCTACCAAACCAGCTAGTACATGTACAGTACAGGCACTCCCCGTAATTTGGAGAAGAGTACCGAGATAAGTATGTATGTACATGACACAAAGTGAGTTGGATCATGCATATGGGTCCCAGATGTCTACATCCTGGTACCAACTTCCAACCCAGTGTTCTTTACACGCATCAATCCGTATATTCTAGATGCTAAACTACACATTTCAATTGATCTACATGCATATTCTCTGTTCAGAAAACATGCATGCTTGCACCTAAAACTGGATTTACGCCTAATAACATTTATATACATTACTGCATATGCTGACTGCACATTGAGTGATTAGTTAATATACGTACATATAAGTTCTGAACTGTCAGAAATTCAGAAGTTCCAGCAGTAGTATGGCTCGTCGAGAAAGTTGCAAATGGAATTTGAGTTTGATGATGAGGCCTGCTGGTCCGTCGGGCCACCGGCGGCGATCCCGCCGTAGATGTCGCCGAACTCCATCAACTCCGGCAGGTCATCTGACGACGAAGCACCAAGGTGCTCATGGTTGAGAAGCCGAGACGACGGTGAGGAGGTGCAGCGTGATGGTGAGCTGATGACCACCGGAGACGACGACTCCTCTCGAGCCAGGCCATGTTCATCCTCCTCCTCCTCACGGTTGCCACCATCGATGGCAGCACGGCCATCGCCGGACCGGCGACTCGTGTGTTGCCACGGCTGACCGGACGGCGGCGGCGGCGCCGCCGCAGCCTCCGCCGGAGGGAGACGGCGCCGGTTTGGCGTGTGCTCCTGCACTGTCGTCGTCGTCGTCGTCGTCTCCACCTCCTCCATTTCCAGCCAGTGTTCAATTGGAGGCTGCTTCTTGAACACCCTGCAGATCACCCACTCGCTCTGCACCGAGGAAACATTAATGAAAACACGTCAAGAACATCGATCAACGTCTGATCCCCGTAGGAGCACTTTCTATTGCTGAGATACAACCATCCTAAATCAATGACTACGAACAAGTGGCGATCGAAGCCAGCGGCATCGTTGAGCCCTGATGACAAAGAGCGTTTGCTAGCGATCGATTATTTCTTTTTACATGTGTTATCAAGGAAAATTAGATAAAGTTGGCGATGGAGTTGAAAGGTATAAATTAGAATGAATTGTAAGGTAATACCTCCGTATTTCAATGTATGACGTCTTTGACTTTTTAACAAACGTTTGACCTTTCGTCTTATTAAAAAAAATTATGTAATTATAATTTATTTTATCGTGACTTCATTTATCATCAAATGTTCTTTAAGTATGACATAAGTACTTTTATATTTGCATAAAAAATTTGAATGAGACGAGTGGTAAAACGTTGATTAAAAAGTCAACGGTGTCATACATTAAAATACGGAGGGAGTACAAATTAAGAGTTGCACAAAATCGACACGATATATATGTACTCTATTCTACCCATTATTTTTGGAAACCAATTGTGTCGACATCTTTGAAATTCCTAATGTATTTACGCTTTTTTTTATATATATACAAGTATTCTGATAAATCAATGGAGCCCAGACACGACCAACTCACTGCTTAGGATCACCAACGTACCAATAGTAGAAGAATATCACCAGTACAGTTAGAACTTAGAAGTAGTGAATCTTGAAAACTTGAACTGTATCACAGCATCTTCGTGCATGAGCCATGAGGATTAAGGGAAGCTAATTAATCATACGTAGATAATATCGAGAAGATTATGTGTACGTGCCTGAGCTCCTCTGATGAAGTTGGTGCTCGGTGCTCTAGAGTACTCGTGCATCACCCAGCTCGTCTTCTCCCCTCGCGGCGCCCTCCCTTCGTAGAACACCAGCGTCTTCTTCGTCCCCACGAGCCCGCCGCCGCCGCCGGCAGCGTACACGCCCTTGTCCTTCCCCGTCGACTTCCAGTAGCCGCCGGCCGTCGCGCGGCGGACGCGCGCGCCGGACGGGTACTTGCTGCTCCGTCTGCAGAAGAAGTAGCACTCGCCGCCGCCGCCGCCTCCGGTGCTCGCCGCCGACGAGTCGCCTGTGCATTAGTTAATCGCAAAACACGTCACGCATATATATGGTCATCATCTCCATCAATCGATCGAGAATTAACTGTCAAATTCTCTCTCTCTCTCTCAACGAGCTAGACACCATCACATGATCATGATCAGCTAGAGCTAGGGCATACATGGGAGGTGCCATGGATCGGAGGTGTAGAGGTCGACGTCGCGGATGGCGGCGGAGGTGAAGGTGGCGTCCATGGCCTTCCTGGCGAGGTAGTAGGTGACGAGCTCCTCGTCGGTGGGGAAGAACCGGAACCCCGCCGGCAACCGCTGCTCCTCTTCCATTTCGATCGATCTATCTGCGCCCGCCGTATACGTATACATGCACCCGGCAGACAAGATTAACCAACAAACAAAATACGCAATATATATATACTCTACCAGAGATGGGTGTCTGGGTGAGAATCATCTACCATGATATCACTACCATTACAGTCACCGATATATGGGTCTGACCATCCTATTACCCCCGCATGTCAGTGCAGTGGTGTCATTAAGGCAGAGGATTTGAACCATACGAAGATACATCCTCTCGTTTTGTGCATATTGCTAAAAAATCATAAATAAAGAGAAAAAAAATGGATATGATAGATCAATATGAAATATGCCATTTCATAAATATACAAATTCAAACTCAACATATATAAGTAGAAGCGAAAATAACAAATTTCACTGCGAATAGTACACACCATTTGCAATAAATATGTTATTTTTGTTTTTATTTCTATATATTGAATTTGAATTTGCATATTTGTAGAATAGCATATTTCTTATGGATCTATCATGCCTATTTTTTTTTCAATTCTTTTGGTAGCTATTCAAGTGGTATAAAAAACAAAGGGATATATCTTAAGGGATGAAAACAATTTCCCCTACTACTACCCCCGTTTCAAAATATAAAATTTTTAGCTCTGTATTTGAATAAGAGTATGTCTATGTACATAATCACAAGTTGTTTTATTCTGAAATAGAGGTAGTATGACATATACACGTGTACGTAAACACTACACCATGAAAAAGCAGAGCGAATTACATACCAGGTGACAGTAAAGTACAATATGCAAGCATTCATGCATATGATCGGACGATCGAGTGTGTAATTACTAATTAATTAAACGATCGAATATGAAAGCTAAGCTAGCGTAGATATACTGCAAGATCATAGATATAACGTGTGATGTAGAGATAATAAGGCCATCTAGTTAAACATTAATTAATTCTTTAATTTGTGTTCATGAGCATGGCAGGAAAATGAAAGACTTACCGTACGTGAGATTGATTCAGAGAATTGAATCGCGGGCAAAAATAACTTGTGTGGCGGCGAGAATAAGAAAGCAAGGCGTGTGTGCCCCATTTTATAGTACGGGTGAAGGCAGCTGCCAGTTTGCGTGCACGTAGTAGGCACCTGTCGGCTGCCGGCGCCAGGCGACAGCCGAGGTGATGAGATCATGGCAAGATAATATATGGCTAGGAACTGATGATGATCTCTCTGCAAAACGGAACAGATATATAGGGATATGAAAATTTCAAAAAATAACTTAAAAATGTGTATCATATGCAACCTCTTATGGACTAAACATATTTCTTTTTCTTTTTAAAAAAGGCGTTGACAACCATTTGCAGTTTATATTCATCCACGCATGGGTATTATCTGGATTTGTGTACTTGGATGCATGCAAACTTGTACTACTTCCGGGCTGAATTTTATTAAAGTAATTTTTAAGACTGATCTATACATACGTTCTCCATATTTCAAAAATAAATCTTCTAGATATCATTCCCTAGTTAAAGTTTTTAAAGTTTAGCAATAGACTTGTACTGTAAAACAACAAGTATTATCAACTTGTAGAGAGTAGCTCATGTTGTGACATTTTTTAGACCTCTCTTCTTTACTCCCATCAATGGAGTAAGGCTGCAGAGGTAAGGAGGATATAATCATATAAGTATTCTATTGCTAAACAAGGCTGCGTTTGGTGGAGATGTCTCCCGTAGCACCGCAACAAATAACAGCAATAGAAGCACTGTTTGCAGCGGCTGCAGTCGCAGCCACAACAATTGCTTCCGAACAGGGCTAAAAAAAATCTATATAACTAGCTGATTCCCGTGTTTTGATGTGAGAATTACTAAGTAATTTTTAATATATTTTGTTCAACAATCAAGTTAAGAGTAAAAAGAAAAAATAATGAAACGTTATGGTTTATTAGCACTTATCATGATACAAACAAATAATACATGCGCTTTAATGTGAAACATATTTATAAGTATACATTAAATATTATAAAAATAATTTGAGAGGTGATAATTGGATATACTTGCATGCTGTTTTGTAGAATTAAATATATTGTAGATGATGGTCCATGTTTGCATGGGATTAAATATGTAATTATTACCAGTGAGTGATAATATGACATGGTTACATATTGAGCTTTAGATTTAATGGGTTGTAACTTTATAGAAATTATAAATTTCAGAGATGTAAAAAATAAGACACCACCATTATTCTACTAGCTTAGAAATTACTCTACTACTAAAAGAAAAGGAGAAAGATTCATACCAATAAATTGTGGTGAGTCTAAAGTCTAAACTATACCAGTGTAGACTGATCGAAGTTGTATACAAGTTACACTAATCTTATGTATGAAAAACAAAATCTGAGAGTTGCATATAAATCCAACTCTTTTAAAATCTATTGTACATAAATTACAATTACAAAATTTTTCTGAAATACTTTTACTAAAGAAAACAAAGATGTATTTTACTTTTCAAAGTCAACAAGATGCATAGTTCTGCTTCTAAAATATAGCTATGAGCAGATATATATCTAAGAAATATTACCGAAGTGCAATATTATGAAAGTATTTTTTTTGTAAAGCAAGTTCTTCTTGTATGATTTTCACATATCAGAGCACAGCTAGCTCTATAAGTATGGTTAAAATCGGTCGATTACACACATTTTCTAGGACATAATTATTGTGTGATTGGAAGTAATATTTGATGACTATACCACAAAATTGATTTTCTGACCAAACTGTGCAGGGTTGGAGATTAGATCAATCCTCGCCTAGCGCCATCCGCCACAAGTGCATACTCTCACCAGTCACCACAACTCTCGTACTCAAAATTATTGCGTGCCTGTGTCGCTTGGTCGTGTTTGATTAATAAGTTTGTTTATATGTGTATAATTGATTTGCCAATCATGCAATCTGAATTTCCAATTGATACGACGGATCGAGATGTGATCGGTTTTACAACTGATAATCACAAAGATGTCCGAGAAGCAGGCTGCAGGAAGTCACCACTCACCACACAAATTAGCATATCCTTCTTTGCAAATTGCAAGTTGCAAGTCACCAATGGCTTATATAACGATGCGTCCTATCTCCAGGATAGAGGGAGGGAGACCACGCCAACCGTGTCACTAAAATGTCCACGTCAGTGACATGACATGATCAGATGGAAAAGATATCGAGCATAATATATACTCCCACTGTTTCATATTATAAAACTTTCTCGCATTGTCCACATTCATATAAATAGAGAAAGTATATTTATATTTTAAAATATAAGAAATTAGTGGATACCAATCTCCTGCGTATCAATGAAATTTTAGTCGATGATGTTTACCGTGGAGATTCATGCATTCATTCCAGCATTTGCTTCAAAAGAACATAGTTAATTATTAATAGAGATTGCAGGGTCAAGGTACAGTAAATTTAGGATGATATCCTCTGCTTTTGTTTTCCGATTGAAATAGAGTTCCCCTGTTTTATACTACTCGTACAACATTTATATGATGATGACTAATGTAAAGGTTGTCTAGAAGGATAGTATCATAGTAGACTTGCTGTCCCTACTAAGCCTAATTCTCTTGGGCCTTGTGGACCCGAGTTGGGTCGTGTTGATTCGAAACTTTTTTTTGTTTGATGAAAATAAATTACACAATCGCTTTAGCTCACATACCACACACCATCCATCACTTGGCTTATATTAGTAATAAGACTATTAACTTATTATTTTCTAAAAGAATCTATAGTACAGTACTCCCTCCGTCTAGAAATATATGCGATTTTACCCTCTCGTTATGTCCAAGAAGATATTGGACTTTTCCATCAGAAATTAAGTACTCCACTGGTTTCCATCGGAATTATTCGGGGTTATTCAGTTTGATACCATTTTAAACCATACCATATTTTCTAAAAGTTGTTAAATATGTAAATTAATTTAGTTTTTTTACTAAACTATGATAAATATATATGAAATCCTGCCAAAACTTGGCAATATTATTAAATTGCTAAAATTTTTATATTGCCAAAATTTGGTAATGTTCATTTTGGGTAAAATCTGAAAAGGCCAGTACTACTACTCCACACCGTCCACTGTGTAAATACAGAGAACGTACTAGTACTACTACTACTTCGTTCATTGTACCAATGGGTGCCTTTTATAGCTATAAACATACTCTTGGATGTTACTTGGCGTATAATAATCTCTATATGTTTATTATAGATTCGTACTTCTTGGGATAAACCTTTTGAATCTTATTAACCAAAGATATACGACTTTGGGCTACGGTTAACTCAGCTCTTCCTTAAAGCTGTGTTCAGGAGGTGAGGTTAGAAACTCATCTCTCGCGCATATAAAATGGAGCGACGTATTTTCTTATGATTAATTAAGTATTTATCTAATTTTTTTAATAATGGATTAATATGATTTTTTAAAGAAACTTTCATATAAAAACTTTTTGTAAAAAACACACCGTTTAGCAGTTTAAAAAGCGTGCACACGGAACACAAGGGAGAATAGTTGGAAAAACAGGCTGTCGAACATAGCCTAAGTTATGCTATTTTGAACATAATCCCTATATTCTTGGATGGGGGGAGTAATTTATAAAAGAAAAAAGGGCATCGCATTATTGTAAATCATAGCCCTTAGAATAGCTATTGTAAATCATCGCATTACGCTTGTTCGGCACCAATAACCCTTGCACCATCCTCCGGACACACCAGTAGCCATAGTGGCTAGGTATCACGAGTGTAAGGGAGTCATCACCAGCCATCTTAATGATGTCACGTCGGCGCCAATGGTTCTAGGGCTGACCTAGAAATCCACTTAAAAGTTTCCTCAGTGGTCTATTTCTCAAAATAATGTTTGAAGGACCAAAATACAAAAAGTTACCGTGTCCTGCTAATTCTTAAGACAAAATTTGCTACAGGATAGGCAAAAATTCTGTAATTAGCTGAGGGACACCGTAAAAATGTGACGCTACCCCAGGACACTACAAAAACTATGAAATTTGCCCTAGGATACTGGGCACATTATTTTATTATTTCCCGGCTGAAAGTAGTTATATTTTTTTTTGAAGTGCCAAAATTGCCCCACGTCGCCATCTATTCCGACTCGGTTTGGTCGAACCGAACTCAGTCACTTTCGTTGCCACACACCACCGATGAGAAAATTCACAGTACCTAACCCTAACCCTAGCTTGCGGCGGCGGTGGCATAGGAGGCTTTGGTGACAGCGGCCGTGACGACGGGCCATCCTCCCCGCCGCTCGATCGCCTACCAATGTCACTTCTCCATCGCCCGTCGTCGCCACCGCTGTCGTTGCCGCCGTCGCCGAAGCCTCCTCCGACGTCGCCGCCGTCGCAAGCTAGGGTTAGGGTAAGGGATTTGGGATTTTCTCGTCGGTGGTGTGTGGCGACGAAAGTGACTAAGTTCGGTTTGACTGAACCAAGTTGGTATAGATGGCGACACGAGGGCAATTTGGGCATTTCGAAAAAATTATCACCACTTTTCAGCCGGGAAATGATAAAATAATGTGCCCAGTGTCCTAGGGCAAATTTCATAGTTTTTTAGTGTACTGGGGCAGCGTCACGTTTTCACGGTGTCCTTTAACTAATTACATGATTTTTGCATGTGCTGTAGCAAATTTTACCAATTCTTCAAAAAAAAGAAAAAAAGTGTGCTTCTGCCTTCTTTCGTCCTAGCTTTACCACCCGGGAAGTGTTCCTTGTCCGGGTGGTTGGCAAATGCCAATGATGGTTAGGAAAGCGATGAGCTCTACAGCAACAAGAGATACATACTTTTGGACTGCAAGAAATCTGCTGCAATGGAAGTATGAAACTATGTCCAAATGGGCCATATGCTTCCGACGCTGAGATTTCACAATGTAGTGTCATCCTTCAAGCTGACCCAACCCAAAAACCCTCCGATTTCTCGCTGATTTAGCTTGCGAGAAAATTGCTCAAACTGGGCTTAATCGGCATCAGTCGTTGTGGCTAGAGAGTGACAGACTGAGCTGTGAATTCAGAGCTAATGATAAAATAAAAATAAAAAAAAGAGACCACTGCTACATGTACTAATTTTTTTCTGACTAAATTTTTACTAACAATCATATCAACCATTTGATTTAGATAGATATGAAAGTTATAAAAAAATCAGGATACACTCATAGCATGACACATCAATCTTAGTAAGAATTTAGTAAGAAAATTTTGTAAGTATAGCCTTTTCTTAGAAAAAAACACAAACACCAGAGAAAGCCACAGTATTGAAATTGCGGAGATTATGAATATGAACAGGCGGAAGTTTTTTACAAACAGCAGCAGCGCAACCGCTAGTTCAGTAATTTACATATCACATCGAAACATCATGCATACAAACGACACAATCAGTACAAAATGCTAAAACGAGATCGAGCAATGCAAGACATGCTGCAGTGGTGTTCCTGAGCTGTTTGGCGAAATGCTCTGCCGAAGAGTAACCTCGCTGTGAACATTTGGACTTGCAAATCTGAATATGCCCGCATTTGCGTAGGATTTATAACATATCTCTGCATCTTGTATATTGTTCCTAGCAATCGGCAGAGCAAGCCTCAAACAACACCATCACAATCATATTCAGACAGTTCGGGTTTTACTGTATGACTACATGATCAACACGAATCGTCGTAGGTAATAATCGAAAGATGCTAAGTTCTACATGTGTAACACTTCCTCTCGAATCGATTCCGAATCAAAATCAATCAGGTGGCCTTCCTCTGCTTGAGCTCCTCCCTGTTCTCCCTGAGAATGGCCTCCATTTTCTTGTCCACATTCTTGCTGAAACCTGGGTATGGCTCATAGCCAAACTGCTTGTTGAGTATCTGCGAACACGAGAGAGCCAACAAGTGCAGAAATGATCACCAATCACATATCAATTCAATCCGACTCAATTCCTAGTAGGTCCATACATTTATTTGCTTATCTGTAATTGAGACAAGGATGGATCAACTGTTCCAAAAGGGAAGTCTATCATGCTATTATACTACTAGGCCATAAACAAGAACAGTTGCCCTTAACTGTTTAGTGTCACAAAAACACGTCATTTTTTTTATATCGATCAGTATTTGACACAATCGTCAAAATGCAAACTTAATCGCCAATTTCTCGCATGGCCTTAATCTAATTTCTCTTACTATGAATATGTAAAAGTCGATAAATTCATAGTACTACGATGCTCTTTTGGAATGGAGGAATTTTAGTGGATTTTCACAAGAATTAGTTCAATTCCAGTAAAATTCCTCCAATCCAATAGAGAAATGAAGGTATTTGTCATGAATGGATTAGGGCTTGTTCGTCTAATCCCCAAGAGAGAGGGGTTAGAGGAGATTGAGGGGGAATAATTCCACGACCATAATAGGTGTGGACTAAATCCCCTCTAAATCCTCCTCAATCCTTAATCAAACAAGACCTTAATGTGTTCATGTGGTGCTCACCTGCAACAAGATGAGGAATGGCTCCATCAAGAACACCTCAGGGAGATCACCCACAGCCGGCCCTCTCTTCTGCAACAACAAAAACAAGCATCAGATTTCAGCGAAGCAGATCACCAGCAATGGCGTCAAATTCTCATAAACACTCATGGCTAGGTTAGGTTTTCCAAGGGCGGGCAAGGGGAAGCTTTGCTTGCCTCGAAGAGGCCATGGCCGAGGAACTGCCAGGTCCAGCAGAAGAGCTGGGTGGCGAGCGCGGCCTTCCAGGCGAGCGCGAACCCGAGGCGCGCGGCGAGGGCGCGGCTGGCAGCCCAGCCGGCGGCGAGGAGGAGCCCCGCGAGCGCCCCCGCGCGGCGGTCGGCCGCGACGTAGGCGGCGGCGTAGGCGAGGGCGAGGGCGAGCGCCGGGTCGAGCGGGAGCGCGGGCGGGGAGGGGAGGAAGTGGAGGACGAGGAGGCCGGTGAAGAGGATGGGCCACGCGAGGAGCGCGTGCGCCGCGGCGTTCACCGGGTGCCGGTGCTGCGACCGGAAGAAGGCGAACTGCGCCTCCAGGTCCAGCACCCCTCGCCGCCGCCGCCTCGTCGTCGTCTTCGCCGCCGCCGCCGCCGCCATGGACGAGGACGAGGACGACCTCCCGGAATCGAGGATCCGAGGGAGACACTGCGGAGTGGGGCTAAACTGGAGTAGTTTTTTTTTTCTTTTTTTTTATTATATAAGCGTGCGATTGGCTTGCCTTTATATAGGCCATGTGATTGATTCAACGGCTCGTTTGTCCACAGTCCACACATGGAAAATCTGATGCTAAAATTTAGGCAAAATTTGCTACATGACATCCAAAAAATGTGTAATTAGCTAGAGGATATCGCAAGAACACGTATTTGCTATAGGATATCCTAAAAAACTGGTAATTAGCTGTTGGACACCCGTCAGATTATTTTATTATATCAGATGGAATTGGAGAGAGAAACAGATGTGTAAGTACGGTTCTACCCTTTGAATTTTTTTCTTTATTCTTCCTATTTTTTTTCTCTCCCTCATTCTTTATCTCTTTCTCTCTCTTCTTTTTCTTCAAGCGAGCGGAGGGAGAGGGAGAGCGCCGATGATGGAGCGGTGAGGTGCGGGCGATGCGGCGCCTTGATTGGGATGGTGTTCCGCGGTCGTGCGTAGGGGCCAGGCTCGGCAGGACGCGGCGGCCAGAGCAGGAGGGGAAGTGGTCTGCCGGAGGGAGAGGGAGAGCGCCGGCGGGATAGGTTCTTTCTCTCTCTGCTCTTTCTTCAAGCGAGCAGAGGGAGAGGGAAAGCGTCAGCGACGGTGCGGCGATGGGCAGGCCGGTGCGGTGCCTCGGCTGGGGCAGCGCTGCGCGGTCGTGCGCAGGGGCTAGGCCAGCACGGCTCGGTAGGCAGAGCAGGAGGGGAGGTGGTGCCGACACAGTTAGGCGGCGTTACCGCGCAGGCAAGGGCGGCCGGCCTCGGAGGATGACGAGCACGGAGAAGTTCTCGGCGGGGGAGGTGGTGGCGGCGCAACGGACAGTGGAGAGGGAGATGGAGGCGGCAGCGAGGGCGATACCGATCGTTGTCGTGGCTGGGGTTGTGGCGGCTGTGCCGGAGCCGGCAACAACGAGACTTGCGGCGAAGTTGTTGCTGGTCGTGCTGCTGGTGGAAGGGAACAGGGAGGCTGCCGTCGAGGCCACCGCTACGCCTGCCCCCCCCCCCCCGAGCTTTTACCCCTGTGCCGCCCGCTGTCGTGCTTGCCCTCGCCGCTCTGCCGCCCCATCTGGAGAGAGAGAGGCTTTACATGTGGGGTCCAAGTTGGATTCATTTGAGTCAAGGGCAATCTTGTCTTTAGTGATTGTTTCTCTGTCCTATTCCTCCAAAAATAATATCGCCGGTGTCTAACATCTAATAACCATTTTTTTGCGATGTCCTACAGCAAATACGAGTTTTTACGGTGTCCCCAAGCTAATTACATGTTTTTTAGATGTCCTGTAGTAAATTTTGCCTAAAATTTACTCTCTCTATCACAAAATATAAGTATTTTTAGACACTGACACAGTCTTCGAGATATTACTTTGACCAGTAATATCTATATAAAAGTAAGATGTTTTAAATAAAAAGAGTTACATATTATGATAGTTTGTTTAGTGATAAATCTAGTAACATCAATTTTTCATGATTGATCTTTTTAATTTTTTTACTATTAATGGTCAAAGTTAAAAATATTTGACTTATCTCTATGCTAAAAATACTTATATTTTAGAACGGATGGAGTAAATTTGGAGTAATTCTTAAAGATGATTTTGTGGTTATTTTATAGTGTTTGTTTTTAATAGTTAAGAACACATACATAAAATTTTATTTACTAATAAGAATAAACATAATCGAAACAGTGGGACCATAAATCTATACATCCATCAGACAGCTAAGGAGACCAGTTGTAAATTCAATATCTCGTTAAAATTTCTTTTATCAATCTAGTAGTAATATATCCATGCTTTACAATAAATCGATCCATATAATTAGGGATCGACTGAGTGAGTGAATTGAGAATAAAATATGGGCAAAACCCATATAATTAGGGATTGGTTGGGTAGATGGATTGATAATAAAATATTGGATCATATGTGGTTACCCCCGCACAAAGGGGACGGAAGGAGAACTACTGTGTTTTTAAAGTAGTAGAGAAATTTCTCCACGTATATTCCGAGCAATAAAATTTAAATAATTGGTGAAAATATAAACTTACGGTTCCACCACATAATATGTGTAGATGTCTGCTCGGAAGCTTTGGAGTTACGGTTGTCACACTTGTTTGTCACGCAGGAAACAAATATGGTGGCTTTTTACAACTTTGTAAGTTAAATTCATCTTAAAAGTATATTCAAAATATTATAACTTTTTTATTCCTTTTATAAATTTTATATAGGTATTCGTAATAAAATAAGTACTCCGTTTTATATTATAAGTCGCTTTTCTTTTCCTAATTAATTTTTTTTAGGTTTAACCAAATTCATAGAGAAATTAAGCAATATCTACATCATCAAATTAGTTTCATTAAATTTAATATTGAATATTTTTTTGGTGATATGTTTATTTTATGTTGATAATGTTGCTATATTTTTTTATAAATTTAGTCAAACTTAAAAACACAAATTAACTAGAAAAAACTCAAAATGATTTATTGTATGAAACGGAGGGAGTACATTATTTCAGTTTTGTTATTTTTAAGTGGTTCAATTCATAGTCATTCGTTCTACAACCACTATAAAAATTGATAATAATTAAATTCGTTAAGCAAAAGCCGAATAAATTTCATCATCTTTAGAAAACTAAAATAAGTATATATTAGTAATTATGTCACTGTCCAAAGCGATACTTGTTTGTGACTGGAGGTATAGTATCAACAAAAAAAATGTGAAAGTTTCTTAAAAAGAACGATGTGAACGCAAAAGGTTGAAGGGTATATAGCTCTCGTATTAGTATGAATTATAGATAGAGGTTACTGGTTAAGTGTCAAACTCTGCTGTAATCGGACGATCAACCCATTGCCAATCGAGCTCGTTTGTATCCGTACTACGTGTGAACTCAATTACTCAAACACGGACATCGATCTATCGTTATCAGTTTAATTAGTTTTGACACGCAATTAATATGACGGCCGGGATCTTGTATACTAGGTTTTGCCGCATGCGTCGTGTCTCCCTAGGGCATGTACAATAGTAGGCTATAAGCTAGCTGTAAATATATTTTAAGAAGATAAATAAGGAGAGAGAAAAACAGCGAGTTACAGATTTGTAGCCAGCTGTAGCACAGACTGCAAGACACAGCGTGTATATATGATAGGTGGGACTAGGTATTAATAGTGTAGTATATAACTATTATATTAATGAGCTATTAGATTGATTATAGATGAATTGGAGCTAGTAGTTGGTTATACTATCGAACTTGCTCTTAATTAGCACTACATCAAAATCACTGCTACTCCCTATGGTCGCGGATTTACCTTTTTTTTTCTACACGGAACTGTATTAACTTCAATGCTCACAACACGTGCACAAGCAACCAACTTTTGAAAGATTGGGTCGATATATCTTCAAGTTGACGAAGTTATCACAAGTATCTTATTATCGATGGTTACCACTTAAAAATAGTGTAAATACGAGTATCCATGTTAAGTTTATTATTATTTGAACCCGAGTGAATGAGTTTCTCCATAAAAATCGAACCGATTGAAAGTTATCATCTCCCAGAGCATCACAAACAAATATATAATATAGCTTGTAATCCTAAAATTTAGTCATTTTATGAAATGTTTGCTCTAACAGTTTCCTAAGTTATTTTTTTTAATAAAAATCTATTCTCAGTCCTTCTCGCTCTCTACTGGAGAGGAATTAAGCACGCCGTCTCTCAATACACACGGTAGGATGAGAAGAGAGCGACATGCCAAGGATTTCTCAAAATTTGATTAGGAATCTTCAAAACAAAACACTAGTAGTGGCTCAAATAAGCAGGCCCCTTATACCGCATCTACCGTGCAGTTTCGTTTCATAATATGAGTCGCCCTAATTTTTTACTAGTCATTTTTTTTAAGTAGAAGAATATAGTAACATTTCTAAAAAAACATATTATCAAAATATATTTAATGAAATTAATTTGTTGTTTTAGATTTCGTAAATTTTTTTTACAAACTTAATTAAACTTAAAAGTTTTGAATAGGATAAAAGTTAAAACGAGATATATATAAAACATACGAGATAATTAATTTGATAGCTCCATGAAACCATGAGGCGCTCATAAGTTTGACAACATCTAGCCGATGGATCGTTTCGCGTTTGGGTGGAGTACGTCGCGATTGCTCAAACGGGAGGATGTCCCGATCGATAAGCATCATTAATTACTAATCACTTAATTCTTTTTTCGTTAGGTGTGAACGTGAAGAGTGTTTTCCTCTACCCGTTTAGACCTGCTCTATCGATCATCACTTCTTCATTAATTTAAAGTGGAAAACGAAACGGCCATAATAGGTACCTAGTAGTAATTGATATGACCAGCTGTTCACGAGCTAGAACAACGATGCATTGGTGTACATTTTGAAGGTAGCGTATAGAAATGGGTCGTACTAAATGATTTCACAAAAGTATTTTGGATATCTTACTCCCTCCGTCCCAAAATCAATATAGTTTTGCACTATTCACGTTCAACGTTTAATCGTTTGTCTTATTTTAAATTTTTTTATAATTAATATTTTTATTGCTATTATTAGATGATAAAATATGAATAGTATTTTATGTGTGGCTAAATGTTTTTAATTTTTTCACAAAGTTTTCAAATAAGACGGACGGTCAAACGTTAGGCACAGATATCTACGGCTGCACTTATTTTGAGACGGAGGTAGAAGATGACTTCAACAACTGGGCATGTAGAAAAATGAAAATACATACACAATAATATTTTTCTCAATAACACGTAGAAGAGAAAAAAAATAAATCATAGAATTAATGGCACGTAAAAGAGAAGAAAAAATAATTTAATTTTCTCAATGGTACGTAGAAGAGAACAGTAACACGTAGAAGAGAAAAAAAATAAATCATAGAAAGAGAAAACAATAAGACTAAAGAAGAGAAAACAATAACACGTAGAAGAGAAAAAAATAAATCATAGAAAGAGAAAACAATAAGAGTAAAAAATTTTAATGGCCCATGCAGGTCTCGAACCTGCGACCTTCGCGTTATTAGCACGACGCTCTAACCAGCTGAGCTAATAGGCCATTCAGAAAAATTACTTCATGCATTTTACTTGTATTTTAAATCAATAATTTAGCCCAATAACCCTCCGGCAGACGGTTCACCTGAAAATCTGATGGGTGAAAACTATTTTCAGCTCTCTTTTACTTTAAAGATGTTATACTTTGATTTTAACGCTGTACTCAGCCACATACTCCATCCGTAAAAAAAAACAAATATACAGATATGACATATTATAGTACAATAAATCTAGAATTTAGATTTATAATACTAATATGTCATATTAGTAATAAGTTAGTTTATGGACCGGACGAAGTAGTGCTGATGGATGATGATTGATTGATGAAACATAATTTAATACAGTTATTTGAGGGCGTAATCGAATGAATTGAATATTATAAAGTTTATTTGAAGTTTTATCTAAGAAGTATGTGTTTGCCTGGTGAACTAGGGATCATTTTTCGTCTCCTGAATCAGCCACACCGCGACACGGTCTACTTGCTACTTCAGAGATTTTGAGCAACCTTGTGCAAGTATCTTTTTAAATGGAAAAAAAATGCATTTTCCCGCTCTCCAACACATATAAAGGCAAGAGAAAATTAACTGAAAAGCAAACGATTAGATGCAATAGAAACTGATGAAGACGCCGACTTATATCAAATTATCAAGCAAAATAAATCAATCAACATATCGATTTGGATGTGCAATGCAAAATATGCATCAGAGAGATTCCCATTGAGACTTTAGTCGATCACTCCCCACCTTCACAGAAAGGGGGTGCTGATGTCCCTGTCTTGCTTCTCATCATATGCATCTGCACCCACATTATTCGTCTTATCTATCTCTCTACCGAGCCAGAAACAAACACCATCAAAAAAAACTTCAAGCAAAAGAAATCCATTAACTGATCGATTTTTATTTATTTCTTTTTATTGGTAAAAAGAATGCATCAGAGAGATTCCCATTGAGACTTTAGTCGATCACTCCCCACGGAAGGAGATCTGATGTCCCTGTCTTGCTTCTCATCACCTGCACCCACCACATCACCTCATTGCGAGCCAGCAACAAAATCATCAGAATGGCTCGCAACAAAATCATCAGAAAAAAAAGAGGAAACAAACAGAGAGCGAAAATCACAACAACAACAATGAACTGTACCCAAAACGAATAGCAAAACAGGGCACAACGAGGAGGAAGAAAAAGAGAGATGCGTGTGTAGGCGGCGGGGAGGGGAGGGCTGTGAAATCCTAGGGTTGGGCGAAGAGGCATATTTATAGCGGATTCATGGGCTGAATTTATGTGCTTCGGGCCCAGTAAGATTGTGCACTAATTCAGCCCACGTTAAATGGCCCAACTGAACAGAAGCCCGTTCAATTAAGCTTGGCCACACATCCTGGCCCAACGACAGGCCCACTGAAATTAAGCCTGGAACAATATTTGGCCCACGTACTGGCTAGTAGAAATTGGCCAGAACGAACTTCTCATGGGCCATAAGATGATCTTTGTGGATTTTTGTAGTATATATAAATTTTTAAATGAAATATATTTCTGTAAATATACTTCTTTCAAAAATTTACAGAAATAAATCTATTAAAGAACAATTTAAAGAAATATATTTCTTTTAAAAATGTACATATATTAAAAGATTCACAAAGAAAAAAATATATTTCCCTTTTAAAAATTTACAGAACAATTTACAGCAATATATATGTTTAAAAAATAATTAATAAATAAATGTTTTTTTCTTTGCACCCAGGTTGCGTGCAGTTTGGGCCGAACTCAGGAGCGTGTTTTGGGCCGAATTCACGCGTTCGATCCAACCCAAAAAAAAGAGAAAAAAAAAAAACAAAGAACTCGCCACTCCCGCACTCCGCCTCGCCATGGCATCGCATCTCACGCGCGCCCTCCTCTCCTCCCCGCCGTCCTCCGCCGCCGCCGCCGCCACCGCCTCTGCCGCCGCCGCGCTCCTATCCTCCACGTCGCCGCTCCCCGCGGCGCGCTTCCTCCAGCTCCACGCGCACCTCCTCCGCACGGGCCTCCTCCTCCTCCCACTCGCCCCGACCGCGGCCTCCGCCTTCCTCTCCCTCGCCGCCGCCTCCCTCCCGTCGCACCGGGCGCTGCCGGTCCTCCTCCACCACCTCGCCCTCGCCCCGGAGACCCTCCCCTCCACATTTCGCCTCAACGCCATCCTCCGCTCCCTCCGCGGCCCCGACGCGCTCCGCTTCCTCCGCCGCGCCCGCGCGCTCGGCCGCCGCGGGAACGCCTTCTCCCTGTCCATCGTCCTCGGCCACTGCCGCGCCCTCGCCCACGCGCGCCAGCTTCACGCCAACGTCGTCGCCGAGGGGCACTCCCCGGACGCCCTCCTGGCCACCTCGCTGGTGAGTTCCTATGCTGCCTGCGGCGACGGGGACAGCGCTCGCAAGGTGTTCGATGAAATGCCGGTCAGGGACACTATCGCGTGGAACGTTCTCATCACTTGTTATACCAGGAACCGGCGGACGAAGGATGCTCTCAAGCTTTTCGATGCGATGAGGGGTGGGGAGAATGGGGCAGAACCAGACGATGTCACCTGCATTCTCCTTCTCCAAGCGTGCACGAGCTTGGGTGCGCTCGATTTCGGGGAGAAGGTCTGGGAGTATGCGGTGGATCATGGATATGGGGGTGAGTTGAAGGTGCGTAACTCGTTGATTACAATGTACACAAAGTGCGGCTGTGTGGACAAGGCATACCAGGTGTTTTGTGAGACTCCTAAGAAGAGTGTGGTCACATGGAGTGCAATGATCTCGGGTTTGGCATCTAATGGTTTTGGGAAGGATGCTATATCTGCATTTGAGGAGATGGGTAGATCAGGCGTTGCTCCTGATGAACAGACATTTACTGGTGTGCTCTCAGCGTGTAGTCATAGCGGGCTGGTTGATGAGGGGTTCAAGTTTTTTGATATTATGTGTTACGAATATCAGTTAAAGCCGAATGTTCATCATTATGGATGCATGGTAGACCTCATGGGCCGTGCTGGCTTGCTTGATCAGGCATATGAACTGGTGGTAAAAGACATGAGGGTAGCACCAGATGCAACGATTTGGCGAACCCTTCTTGGTGCATGCAGAATTCATGGACATATTGACCTTGGAGAGCGTGTAATCAACCATCTAATTGAACTGAAAGCGCAACAAGCTGGGGATTATGTTCTATTGCTTAATACTTATGCAGCAGTTGAAGATTGGGGAAAGGTAGCAGAGGTCAGGAAGTTGATGAAGGAGAAAGGGATCCAAACTACTCCTGGCTGCACGACAGTAGAACTGAACGGCGAGATCCATGAATTTATTGCAGCTGATGCTTCACATCCAAGAAAGGCAGAGATTTATGAAAAGCTTGATGAGATAAACAAACATCTTAGAATAGCTGGTTATGTTCCTAACGTGTCGTCGGAGTTGCATGATTTGGATTCTGAGGGGAAGGAATGCGCCCTCGCATATCACAGTGAAAAGCTAGCAATTGCTTTTGCTCTTCTTGTGACACCACAGCATAGACCAATAAGGCTTGCTAAGAATCTTCGTGTTTGTGTAGACTGCCACAATTTCACAAAGGTATTCTCTGGTGTATATCATCGCTTAGTGATTGTCAGAGACAGAACCCGATTCCATCATTTCAAGGAATTCCAGTGTTCGTGTAATGATTATTGGTAGTCCACCATTTCTTTCCTGTGCATTTATGCTGATTACAAAGGATATAAAGTGTTTGCACACAGTGAATATCAGAGCTTCGTTGAGTGCTGGAATTGATGATATTGGCATGAGATGCAAGATTACATCAGTTGTGTATGCAGTCAGACATGTCACATGATCTATCTGGACACAAGGACCAGATCTCAACAAAAACTATCTAAAACACCAGGTCATTAAGATTGCATCACTGCCTTATGAAGAACATGATCTTCCCTAGAACAGCAATGTGTTGAGGTTTGGGCAGTGTTCAGTTATCAGGTTCATTTATACATTATTGCTTATTTGAACCTACAAAAAACGTAACACCATAAAGAATATCCTTGGCCAGAAGCAGAAAGGAAACTAATGATGAATTATAGCAATTCCTTGCTAGTCTGTCACACAAGGTTTCATTGGCAAGCACCTGCACATTGGGCTTCAAAGCTTAAGGAACATACACTTTCCACCTCTTAAGATACTGTTAGATGTGTTGATCTCTCAGCAGAGATTAGTAATGATCAATATTTGTACAACTTGAGAAATGAAGCATCACTATCAATTTTCATGGTGGTGATGATGATTCTAGTTGAGAACAAGCCAGTCAACCTTAATGTCCACGACTCAGTTGTTCAAGGATTATTAACAGTATATATTTAAGAGAGCAATAGTGAAATACAAGGTGCACGAGTGAATGCCTATCTCGGTAAGGTGAAAACTAAGAAAGTCACTCTATTTTTTCTACAATTGCATATCCATCCAAAAGTTTTAACCGTAGGACAAATACAGTACTTCAATGTTTGAAATTCCAAGTCCAAACATAACTTACAAAAAAAAAATTCTGCAAGGCACATGCACAATTTCAGAATCTTCTGTGGAAAATATAATTTTTGCTCTTTTACTGTACATGGCTTATATGTGTATGAAAATATCTAATGATAGTGTGATCTGTATAGGACAGCTTCCTGAGCTTTCAATTCTTGGATGTCTAACCAATATTTCCCTTCACTAGAAGCTTATGCCTTGAAGGTTTTTTTTTTGCTTGCCTTGAAATTGATTCAGCATGACATGAATGCTTAGTTACTACTGGTAACCAGGAAATTATTTACTACCTGCTACTCTCTCCTTCCCTAAATGTAAGGGATGCAAATGTCCAGATTCATAGCCAGAATCCTTACATTTAGGGATGGAGGGAGTACCTGTTTATATTCTGCATGACATGAATGCTAAGTTACCAGTTTACTTGTGTGTACATTCTGCATGACATGAGCGCTCAGTTATTAGCAGTAATTGATTTTTTCCCCTTTAGTTGAAATGGATCCCAGTTTACTCTTGACACAGATCACTCAATTATGTGCCTGCTTTCTCTCAGAATTGATTCTTAATTGGCAGAGAATAACAGTTTTATGATTCAAATGGCTCATGTGTTCTATTTCATCTAACAGGATGCCCAATCTATACAGGCTAGTGACTGTTGTTTTTTCTTTTACAACAGCCGATCTCTACAATGACTTGTTTGATGAATTTATCTTTGTTGACGTGATGGTCGAAGGCTCTCTAATAAAATTGCAGGAGAAGCATTAGTTTCACATTTAATGTGATAAAAGAGAGTATATCTTCTTAGTTCATATAATAGGAATAATGGGACCATGTCCAGGCACCAGCTATCCCTGCGGCTCTGCAAAACTCATGATTTTGTAGTGCACCTTTCTTTGATGTTGGAACTTGGAACCAACTGATGGCTCTCAAGTCTGAACAGGTATAAACAGCTATTTTGGTGCATATATTATAATGCGAAGACTACTTATTTTATTACTACTACTTTGTATTGATCTATGATCTTGTGACACGTATGTTTTCTAGTGTCCTATCCATGACAGGCATCTAGGATTTCTAGTGGAATATCCCAATGGAAGTTCCTTTTGGCATGTTCTGATTTGGCGCTCCATCAATCCTCGACGCAAACATGTATCCTTCGTTTGCTAATCAGACCTGGCTATTCTTCTGCACATCAATTATTTTAGTTGATTTGTACAATGAAATTGATGATCAACCAAGCGCTTTCAAGACCATTTTTTTTAAGGACGTTGATTCTCTTCTGAATAAGTCTTATCGATTAGGTGCGCTTAATTTCTTTATTGCTGATATTATACCATTGGATTACGCAATACAAGAAGATGCGTGCATCATGTATATGAGTCTATGACCGAGTTTGTTCCCACTAGCTCTCTTATGTTGATGTTGATGTTTGCATGGCATTTTGGTTCCCTTTTATTTCATCTTGTCAAGTGTATACTGCTGTTTAGCTGGTGAGAGTTTCTTTAAGCATAGATTTGACGAATGGAAGATGCATCAAGCAAATGTCACATCTGACAAAAGACTTGGCTTCTCCGGTTGAACATATACAAAACCAAGCAACAACAACAACCAAAAAAAAAAAGAAAAATCAGAAGAGCTATCTATCCTGTTAATGATAATCTGTATTTTTGTTAGGTTGTCCTTCCAAGTGCGTTGGACTATGGACGACAGCCAACCACGTTCGCGGTACGCTGTTCAGATCGGTGCCGTGCTTCCCTGCAAAACCTATGTAAGTATTGCAACTTTTTCGTCGGTCACCATCAGTCCCTCTCTTTCTAGAGGACATGCAAAATTAGAATTGTAAGCAGTACGTTTTGGCACCATCAAATTTTGTTAAGATACAGAGATATAAAAATATATATGTGTTGCATTGACACCAAAATTATATTTTACTCCAGTTAGATGAATAGATTGGTATTACTATAATTCTGGTATAGAGCATATTAGGGAGGTGTTTGGTTTGTAAGTTTATCAATTTTGTTTGGAGTAAATTTCACAAAACTATAGGTACTTTGGTCAAATTATCAGAAAACTACAAATTTAACATGATGTATCACAAAACTACAGATTTAACACTAATTTTATCACAGAACTACAAATTTAAGGTAAAATATCTCAAAACTATAGATTTAGTAACAAAGATATCACAAAACTATAGGTTTAATATAGATTAATCATAAAACTTGAACATTTATAACTCAAACATAACATTAGTGCAACTGATTTAACCCCCAAAATATGTAGTTTTGTGATAATTTTATATTAAATATGTAGTTTTTTCATAATTAGTCTTAAACCTGTAGTTTTATGATAAACTTGTTGCTAAATCTGTAGTTCTGTGATATATAACCTTCAATTTGTAGTTTTGTGATAATTTAGTTAAAATATATGTAGTTATGTGAAATATACTCATTTTTTTACCAAGTTTTGATAGGGCAGCAAATCAAAGTTGCCTTGTTCTTTTTCTCTTACAAATTAGTATGTATTATTATGAGAACATTTCCCAAGTTCATAAATGATGGCGATTTTTGCAAAAAGAAAAAAAAAACTTTCTATATATAAATTGCTTAGAATACTCCCTTTAAAACAAAAATTCAACTATGTAAGTACTAATTCATTTATTTCTACCCTCAAATATTATAAAAGAAATACATAAACCTTTGATTTTATTCCCCCATTCTGATTCAGCCTTTCAAACTGGGCCTTATGGCCTCTCTATAGCCTACTCCAAAATCACTATCTGTCGCAGGCGTACGTTTTGGCTTTGCGTTGGCAGTTTGGCACGGCTGGTCGGCTGGTTGACCCAACAGCACATCCACGGGACACCCAGTGATGGCGTCCGGGCTTCGCCATATACACGGACGAGACGCTGCCGCCGGTCGCCGTTGCCGCTGCGCCTCTCTGAGCTTCTGCTGCTGCTGCTGTTCCCACTCCGACAGCGAGGTCTCACCGCCTCACCGCCCGGCAACACACAGCAACAACAACAGCGCAATGCGTCCTCTCTATCTTAAAATAAAATACTGTGACACATCTGACGTCGTTGACTTTTTTAAACATGTTTGATCGTTCATCTTATTAAAAAAATTTAAGTAATTGTTAATTCTTTTCCTATTATTTGATTCATTGTTAAATATACTTTTATGTATACATATAGTTTTACATATTTTATAAAAGTTTTTAAATAAGATGAACGGTCAAGCATGTGTATGTGCTTAAAAGTTAACGGCGTCAAATATTTAGAAATGGAGGGAGTATCCTATATCCTAGGATGTTCAGATTTATTGTATTAGAATTTGTTACTCCCTCCGTTTTAAAATGTTTGACACCATTGATTTTTTAGCACATGTTTGACCGTTCGTCTTATTAAAAAAATTTATGAAATATGTAAACTATATGTGTACATGAAAGTATATTTAACAATGAATCAAATGATATGAAAATAATAAATAATTAGTTAAATTTTTTGAATAAGACGAATGATCAAACTCGTACTAAAAAGTCAACGGTGTCAAACATTTTAAAACGGAGGGAGTATATCCTAATAAGAGATTGGTTTATTTTGAAGCGAATAGAGTATGCCGATGGATGCAGCTGGGCCGGTGAACAATATGAACGGATTGATTAAGCCCCCAGTATCCAAGCTGCTTGCAGCGGCAGCAGAGAGCACCAAATAAGTTGGCAGTACGTGGTGATCGGCTGCAAATCAAAGACGTGCCAAGAATTGCGTGCCGACTTGTGTTTTCTTGTACAGGAGGACTATGGGACGTCCAGGAGAGGGAAGCCATAACAGCTTACTAAAAAACAAAAACACGGTAATTAACAACTGCAGAACGAGGAATGAACTGGATATAACAGGGTCTTTTCCTGTTAATAATGGAAGGTTCCTTAATGCAGACATGCAGTGCTGATTATTGTTGCTAATAGTACTACTTAGCAGTCTCTCTGTTCACTGATATTCACCCCTCGATTCAAAATTTTCCATCTGGCCATTCTTCCTACCTACTCCTATATCATTTGCAGTTAAACAGGATTAGCTTAGCTATCATGGACATGCTATCAACATTAGATAAAAGATCTCAAGATAAAACTACATAATTAATTTCCTAATTAACGTTTAACGATAAGAATGACAAATACTCCCTTACTACTTAAATATTTGACGGTAAGAATGACAAATACTCCATTACTACTTAAATATTTGGTGTTTAATATAAGATTCGGTTTTTAAAATTCTGATCATCAATAATTTTTCAAATGCTTAGATTTATTAAAACAAATGAACGTGTATAAGTAGATTTGCCTTAAAAAGAAGTGCTATCATGACACCATAAACTTATTGTATTATATAAACCTATTTAAGTATAAAATTAAAAGTGCTATCATAACACCATAAACTTATTGTATTATATAAGCCTATTTAAGTATAAAATTTTGACTAGTCCTTACATGAAACGTTAAATACTTACGATAGGAAGGAGTATATGCAGACAAGAGTGTGAGTGCTTATGAAACCCAAACGTTAAAGTATTTAAGTATGAAGTAAATGGTGGAACATTAAAAGTTGTTTGACCAATTCTTATCGAAACATTAAAATTTTCATTGCCGGAAGAAGTATATGTAAACAGATCAGTACTGATGAAATCCAAATAGAAAGCACAGCAACCGGATAGACAGAGAGAGCTGATGGCGGTGTACGGGTGTATCCATCTCCGACCTGTCAATCTCCAATTGGATACATTTCTAAAAAAAAATAAAAATAAAAACTCCAATTGGATGGATACACTGCTTGCCTTCCACACCTAGCTTTGCCCGCCAATGCCATATCTTGCAAGATTGATGAGTAGCCAATTATTACTCCTCCCAATCCCAAAGAAAAATAAGTTGGCAATTATTCACACCTTGAAATGCAAACATCGCAATTTGCCATCCATGCAGAATCAATGCAGCGTTCTACCCATGCTTTTCTTTCTGTACTTCCTGCCTAAACTTTGCCTATAAATCTGCACATCCATGGCTCGTTTCTTGCAACAAAGCCACAGCCTTCATCATCATCAGAGAGAGAAGGAGAGAGAGGAAGAGATTGCAGTGAGTGAGTGAGTGAGTGAAGCAGCCATGGCGGCGGCGGCGAGGGCAACGGCGCGGGTCGGGCTTGCGCTGCTGCTCGCGGTGGTGGGCGTCGGCGCGCAGGACTACGACTTCTTCTTCCTGGTGCTGCAGTGGCCCGGGTCGTACTGCGACACGAAGCAGAGCTGCTGCTACCCGCGCTCCGGCAAGCCGGCGGCCGACTTCGGCATCCACGGCCTCTGGCCCAACCGCGACGACGGCAGCTACCCGCAGAACTGCGACCCTGACAGCGAGTTCGACCCCTCCAAGGTTCATCCTCTTCTTCCTCTCGGTTCATTTGTGTCATGGTGTCTCTGTTGATGATGATGATGATGTTGTTGTTGTTGTTTTTGGTTTGTTGCTGTCTGTCTGATGAAGCCTCTGGTTTTCTTCTGTTGGGATTCTATGTGATCGACTGATCCTGTTAATTTGGAGTTTTTGTTCTTCTGAAACCTTATTGTCTCTTTTCATTTGATGATTTTGTTTTTTATTTATTTGATGATCTTTTGTTTGAAAGAACTAAGTCAATCCAAGACATCATTGAAAAGATTTTTAATTCAAGATTGATTTCAGAGTAAAGCAAGGAAGCAGACGAAACAGAGGTCATCCTTGCCTTGGTTTCTACTCAACTGCACTTACCTCTTACTTTAATTGCTCTTCCAATCAAACAGCAACATTACCTATTTTGGGTGTGATTTCGTAATCTGCAAATAAATCCCTGTCTGATTTCTCCACCCCACAATAAAACAATGATAAAAAAAACCCCATTATCCTCACAAAAGACTATCTTTTTTTTTATTTGCAAAGATAGAAACTTAAAACCGAGATTAAAATGCTCCCCCCCCCCTACTTGTAAAGATATGTCCAGTATGATTTACTAATCTCCAAGTCATTGCTAAAAAACCCTTTTTCCCCTAAAAAGCTCCTTTTTTTTTCTTGAGAGACTCAGAAATAAGAGAAATTGAAAAACTTTTTCCTACTTGTAAAGAGTTTTTTCCCAGTGTTCACCAAGCAATTTTCCCAAGTAAAAAACTGTGATTTATTTTTTTGTACCTTACAACTAAAAAGCCTTTTTTTTTCTCTTTATAAGAAAATATGCTTTCCCTACTTGTAAAGAATTTTTTCCCCAGTGTTTATCAACCAATTTCCCCAATTAAAGAAGTGAATTTTGCAGGTAAAAAGGTAAAAAACTAAAACAAAACCTTTTGTTTCTTGTGGACTTGTGGTTCAGGTGAGCGACCTGCTGGGGAGCATGCGCTCGGAGTGGCCGACGCTGGCGTGCCCGAGCAACGACGGCATCCGGTTCTGGGCGCACGAGTGGGAGAAGCACGGCACCTGCGCCGCGGCGGCGCTCGGCGACGAGCACGGCTACTTCGAGGCGGCGCTCCGCCTCCGGTCGCGGCTGCCCGTGCTCGCCGCGCTGCGCGACGGCGGCGTGTCGCCCGACGGCGGCTACTACACGCTGTCCCAGATCAAGGGCGCCATCCAGCGCGGCGTCGGCGCCGAGCCGTTCGTGGAGTGCAACCGCGACGAGTCCGGCAACAGCCAGCTGTACCAGCTCTACTTCTGCGTGGACGCCGCCGGCGAGCGCTTCGTCGACTGCCCCGCCTCCCCCGGCGGCCGCCCCTGCGGCAATCGGATCGAGTTCCCGGCGTTCTAGAGCTCTGAGCTCTCTCTCTCTAACCAGCCTCTTCTCCTAGCTCTACGGGGAAGACTCTACCTTCGAAGCATGTCCTTTGTCACTGACACGTGGGTTCGATGAACCATGGGTTCACTTGTTCAGTGATAAATGTATGGTGTCTTTGAAGGTATAGGATCTCAATTCGGGAAAACGTCGACGACAAAGAATTGATGATGATTTAATCCATTTCAGTAATCCATGTTATTGATTACGGAGTAATTATTAATCTGACCGTGTTTTTTTTTAATTCTGTTGTTGCAATAAAAGTATGGCCATGTAATGTTTCTCTCTTTTTTCCCCGCATAATTTGAACAAGTTTAGGGGGGAAGTGGAACATATAAATCAAAGAAAGAAATGAAATTTACATGAATTTTTACATCAAAGCAATGTTCATCTATCCTGAATTGATTTTTTAGATAATGGATTTTCATTAATCCGACCTCTATATTTACGAAGGATATACACAGCCAAAATGATATAAGAGTTACTTAGACTCACACCTCAATAAGGAGGAGAAACAACCAAAAAAAGAAAAAACCAGTGGAAGTCTACCAGTCGCCGCCGCCCCTAGTGCGCCGTTGATGCAAACCTCCATTGGTGCCATCTTCATCAATTTCAGGTGAGCTGATGTCACACGCAGCTTGTTAGCCCACTTTGTCATTCGTCGTATAGTCAGAACTAGCCAACCAGACACGAATCAACGGGATCGACTTCAACTTCGTCAGATTCCTAGGCATCCACTATCCAAAGTGCTGCCGCCATCCTTCGCCGCAACCACTAGGGCCACCGGCGCCGACGATAGCCGTCGCAACCCCTAGGGCCGCCAGCGCCAACGGGAGCTGTCACCGTCCTCCACCGCAGCCCCTAGGGCCACCGGCGCCGACGGAAGCCGCCGCCTGCATCGACAGGAGCAGTTGGGCCGCCGCCAACCTCCGCAGTCCTCTGTCGTCCCCTCCGCCGTCTGAAGGGACTCCGTTGACGACGCCTTTCCACCTCCCCTCTTCTGCCGTCCTAGCCGCCGGGAGCTGGGGGGAGAAGAAGAGACGAGCTGGGGCCAGCCTCCTGCCGCCTACCACCGCTCGGCGACCGCTCCCGGCATGGATGAGACGTTGTGCCTCCTCCGGCCGCAGTCATCGCGAGGTCCGCTGTCGTCAGGGTCGCCCAGACCCGATCTGGCCGCGGCGAGGCCAGATCCGGCGTCGGGGAAGGTGGATCCGCAACCAACGTGGCCGGATCCGCCGCACCGACCGCCCGGCCGCCACCTCCTGTGACCTGCCGCCGCCGAGAAACCCCGGTGTCCCCCGCCGCCGGGCATCCTCGTGGGGAGAACGCCCCGCCGCCGCCGTCCTTGCGGCCATCCAGCATTGCCGATCAACGAGCCGCTCGGGCGGCGGCGAGGCGAAGGGGAGGAGGAGGGAGGGGGCAGCGGTGGAGGATTTTCGTCGTCTGTGTCGCCCCTAGGACGGGGGGCGACGCGGACGGGAGCTCCTCCACTATTTGATGAATTGATGCACATATATATACATGAAAAACTCACGGACCACATTGAAGCAAATAGCAATAATCAACTCGTCTCATGCGAAATTCTTGTTCTAGAGGAGACATACGAACATAGTAGGAGAGAAGACACTGTTTCAAACAGGGCCTAACTCGTTTTTTATTTTTCTTGGACAATTGCAAGGACATTGTGTTGCCAAGACGACATGCAATTGTGTCCCTGGACGAAACTGAGGAGTACAGGGGCAGCAAATTCCATTTCCACGTTTCTGGTCCAAGTTAAAGAGATGGAGACGTTTTGGACGCATCACAGCAAGAAGCAACCAACTTCTAGTGTTCTCTTGATGCTAAACTCCGAATCTACCAAAGCATATGCCAGCTTCCGGCCGTCACTCTCACCAAAACGATGGTTCCAGTTGAAATGTAACATAAGAAAAAAAAAAGCAAATTTTCTCTTTCGCATAAGGTTATTAACCAGTGCAAGTTAAAAATGACAGGAGATGAGGTTGCCTAGAAGATGCACATCACAGAAGAGGCTGAAAACGATCAGAAAATCGATTCATTCCGTAGCTTAGATGAAATGATGGCTCCAGTTGAAATGCCAGAAAGAAAGAAAGTTTTGTATGAAGTTTATCAACCAATGAAAGTTAAAATGACAGGAAGTGAGGATTCCTTCAGAAGCTACACATCGTAGAAGAATGCTGAAAACGATCAAAGAATTGATTTATTCCTTAGTTTGTCCAGCTACAAACCAACCTCTCAGAAACTGAAGCAAAATTTGTGTTAAAACAGGCAGCAGTTTGGGCGTTATCGCCCTCATGTATTCTGAAGAAATTAGCAATGGCAATACAATGCAAATAGTCTGGAGCCTTTCCCTACGCGTCGACAAGAGAAAATTCTAGCCTGGAAACTAAAAGGTATCAAGAGCCTCTTCCGTTTATTATCTTCCTTGTATTGATTCCATTCTGCTTGCTTCAAACAGATGCCGCTGCTGTCTGCTGTTTGTGGACGAACTCGATGCCCTTCTCGATACTGGCCTTCAACTCAGACTTCAATGCCTCAAGTGCCTTGGCCTCGTACTCGGTCACTCCCTCAAGGTCAGCAGAAATGATGGACTCGACACCGTTCTTTCCAAGCTTAACTCTGGATGCAAAGAACGGCAGCTCGGTTAACTCAGACTGAACGAATGTGCACTCATAAACATCAGGGTCGCCAGCAAGTGCACGCAGAGATGACTCGACGAATCTGGCAGCAGCGTAGGCCATGGAGAGGGTAGCGGAGCCAGCACCAGCTTTCGCCTCCACCACCTCTGTTCCAGCATTCTGTATCCTCTTTGTCAGCTGTTCAGTTTCTTCATCTGTGAAGGTGACAGATGGCATGGTCTTTGACAGCAGTGGTAGAATTGTGATCCCAGCATGACCACCGACAACTGGAACATCAACATCGATGAGCTTGAGGTTCTTCTTCTGAGCTACAAATGTGTTAGCTCTAACAACATCTAGGGTGGTAACTCCAAAGAGCTTCTTGGGATTGTACACACCCTTTTGTTTCAGAACCTCGGCAGCAATTGGCACCGTGGAGTTTACTGGGTTGCTGATAATATGGATGAAGGCCTCTGGACAATTGTCTGCAACAGCCTCAACAAGCGACTTGACAATGCTCGCATTGATGTTAAAAAGGTCATCGCGAGTCATGCCTGGCTTCCTTGGGACCCCAGCAGGGATGACAACAACGTCCACACCTTTCAAGCAGTTGGCTAGTTCCGAGGGCCCAGTGAAGTCCAGAACTTGAGAAGGTGTGTTGCAGTGGCTGAGATCAGCAGCAACTCCCTTAACATTTGCAATATCATACAGATGCAGCTCTGAGACCAGAGGAGACATCTTAATCAAAAGGCCCAATGGTTGGCCAATACCACCAGCAGCACCGAGCACTGCCACTTTGTACGAAGCCTCAGGAGAAATTTGAGAACCAGACTTCGCCTTTGGTACAATCCTTGGAGCAACAGATGCCCGGAGAGATGCATTCCTACCCAGGAATGACGACCCTGATTCAAAGCTAACGGATGATGCTGCCTTCAGGCCACTGTAGCTTGTGAAGCCATGATTCCTTGGCTTTGAGATCATGCCAGCCTGAGCGCCAACCGAACTGATGGTAACAGCTGATGCCATTTTTAACTGCAGGAATATAGATTTATATTGGTGAGATATAATATACAGATTGGCAACATGAAGAAACTTTTATAAATCAGTACACTAATTCATCCAAAAACCCTGAAAAGTGATACTGACAGATTAAAATGATCCCTTATCTTCCCCGACAAAAGGGATCATTTATCTACAAGATTCTACAGTATTTCCAGGCAAATGCAATGGAACAGACAACACCTACGGGCATCAGAGCACCAAATCCTTCAGATCTTGAATAATAGTACATCAGCACATGAGAGTCACTTAAAAGATAATTGGGCTTATCGCACACAACAGGGATCACTCAACAGAAATAATCATAGCAAACAAAGGATCAGGGATAATGGATACATGGACATGCAAGGGAAGTAATGTTAATATTGGATATCTAAATAAAACGCTCCAGCTAATCAATACTAGTATACACCTGACTTAGACAGAGTAAAACCACCTCCTCCTTTTTCACTACAAAAAATGTAACCCAAATAAAAAAAGGCTCTTCCACACCAAATCCTAAGTTCCTAACTGCGTAGTTTGTTCTTTCAGACTACTGCACATGATATCGATTGTATTTTTTTTTTCTTTTTGAAACCAGGTGTTGATTGTTAACTCAATACGAAAGCAACGCAAAGCAGCCGACTGCTGCAATTCTTGAACTTGTTCGATAGCACGAAGCAAACAAAGAACAACTTGAAGTTGTTGCTGGATTTAACAGCACACAATTTGAAAACATCCAAGCAACCAAGATCAATCTCAAGCTTTCTTACAAAATGGTTTCCAAGAAATGTAACACCAGTCAATCAGCCTGACGACTCACTGAACTACTAGAAAACATATTGTTTCAGCGATAACCCAGCAACCTAATCCCAAACCATGGTGAACTCCCCCCTAAATACAGAACCCATCGAACCCAACGATTACCATCTAGTACCATTGCATATATCCTACCAGCAATCCATGAAGCTTCTCAAGAAACCCTCGGGAACTCCGCCGTGCGACCGCGAACAGATCGGGGCCAGAGCAAGCAAGCAACAAACCAACCAACCACGGAATCCCACTGTCCCAGACCAAAGCACGCAGCCAGCCAAGAACCACGCGCGAACACGGTTAGACAGCACGAATCGGAGCCAATCTCGATCCAATCTTGGAGGGGAAGAAGAAGAAGAGGTAGGAGGAGAGATCGACGGACGGGTACCTCGATTGCCGGATTGGTCGTGGACTCGTGGGCGGAGGAAGGGGAGGGGAGGGGATGCGTGGGTTGGCGTTGGCCTCTTTTTTTTTTGGGTCGTGAAAAGGGCAGCGGGCAGCGGCGTGGGTGGCTCGCTTTTTATGGTGGTGGTCGCTGGAGACGGCGATGGCGGCGGCGGCGGCGGCGGCGTGAGGGCCTCGGAAACAACGGGCTTTTGCCTCCGCCGTCCGTGCACTGCGTGGATCCGGTGTATGGACTGCCTCACCATTCTGTGGTTTGGTGTCCTTTTTTTTCACATGGAAAAATACAATTCTGTGGTTTAGTGATTGTTCAACCATGACCAAACATGTAGTAGGGTTGAATAATGTGCAAGTCTAACCTGAATTGCCCATGTTAAAAATTGATTATCTGCATCTTCTATGTAATTATATAAAAAAAGAAAGAATATATTCTATACTACTGAGTTTGTCGAGCTCAACAATTTGTCATTGACATTGTCTTTTTCTATAATATACCAACGACTTTATCAATTATTCTACAATACGTCATTGGGCTAGGCCTTCTTTTCAAAAATACCCAAAATACCTTTAGGGACATACAAGATTATTGATTTATTTCATTAGAAGTTTCAAAACAATATGAACATTTTTATGCGGCCTCATTACACAACATGGAAGTTTGTATGCATGTTTCAAGTTTTTTCTGGTATATTTAGTTTTTAGAAAAAAATATTTTTATGTGGTATATGAGATAAAATTTGTTTATACGAGAGATAATAAAAAATATCTTATGTAGTGTATGAAAGATGATTTATATTAAAAACATCAATAAAAGAGTTTTATATAGCATATAACAAATAAGTTATATATTTTTTAAAAAAATATATAATTGTAAAACTTAAAACTTCTATACAAACTTTCATGTTGTGTAAGGAGGCCATATAAAAATTTTCATATTTTTTTTGAAACTTCTAATAGGATAAATCAATTGTTAACCTTGTATGTTCATAAGGGTATTTTAGGCATTTTTGAAAATAATGTCCATCCCAATGGTGTATTGTAGAACAATTGATAAAGTCGTCGGTATATTATAGAAGGAGACAATGTCGATGGCAAATCGTTGAACTCGAATAAACTCAGTGGTATAGAATAGATTCTCTCTAAAAAATGGGGTAAAGTGCTTACAGGTTGCTTTGATTTGAAAATAAGATAGGATTTTTTTTTTTAGATTTTAATCCTATAGGATTTTATGCTATACAACCCTTTATAACAAATGATATAAAACTATGGGATCATGTGAAATTCAAATTTCTTGATCCATATAAAGTTTTGGAGGATTTTTAACATGAGGATCAACCTTATAGAAGATTTCATATAAGTATATCTCTTTTATTCAATTTCTACTAAACTATCATTTCCGTGTTCTATAATTCTCTATTTCACACTTAAATTCCTATCATAATAACATATTTTTTTATTCCTCTATTTTCTCAATCAAATTTTTGAAAAAAAAACAAGCCTTGAGTTGTTGGCTCATAAGATTGGTACTATTAGGAGATGTGGCCCTAACTCATTATTGATCCTAGCTATTCCTATTTTAGGCTGTGTTCGGATACCCCTTTTTCTATCCTCTCTCCCTCGTTTTCCGCGCGCATGTTTTTCAAACTGTTAAACAGTGTGTTTCTTGCAAAAAGTTTCTAACGAAAGTTGCTTAAAAAAGTCAAATTAATCCATTTTTGAAAAAAAAAAGCAAATACTCCCTCCATCTACTTTTGATAGGCATATTTCCAAATCTGAAAAATTTATTTTTGATAGGCATATTTCAATCCAACAACCTATCCTCTTAATGACTTTCTCGGATTTAATGCGTGACTCTCCATTCTTCCACACAAGATTAGCTACATAGGCATCGAGAAATATAAATACTAATGAATCGCTTGTTTACGAGGAATAATTAGTAGCATGTTTAAATGGATGATAAGTAGAATTACTTTTTCTTGGTCTGCGTGCCAAGATAAAATATGACTATCAAAAGTAGATGGAGGGAATACTTAATTAATCATGTGCTAATGGACCGCTCCATTTTCCGTATGCAATGTTTGGGTTGGGAACTGCCTCCTGTGAACACAGCCTTAATGGTGTTGCGAACGAGGTTTGTGTATGAATGTGTCTTACAAAACGATGAAAGGCAACACTAAATGCTCTTTAGAATTTCACATAAATTTAAGCCTCATTGTTTGGCTTATTCGTGTTAGATTTAATTGGGTAATTGATCCATTTAAATCAATTAAATCAAATAAATTCTAGGGCTCATATGCTAAGAATTCATGTGTACTCATTCTCTTATGGGATATCAATGGGATGAAGAGTTTTGAGAATTAATCCATTTGGTTAATGAATTGGTAACTTATATCAATTACTATTAATTGATGGTTGGTTGATGGTTGTGTAGTGGAGGATGGTTCATGGCTAGTTGATGACAATTAGTTACTCTATTCCTCTTCCTATTCTATTGGTAACCTATATATGAATTACTCCTAATTGATTGTTGGTTGATGGTTGTGTATTGGAGGATGGTTGATGGCAAGTTGATGAGAATTAGTTACTCTATTCCTCTTCCTATTCCATGACTCTTACTCTTCATCTTCCATTTCTCCTATAAAATGAGAATGGATTTGATCTCCCGCGTGAGAAGAGAAAAAACACTTTCATCCATTTCCAAGGCAGTTGTTACTACGGTAATCCCATCCCGATGAGTGTGTGCACACACGTTGGGAGAGCAGACCTCCGAAACCACGCATTGCTGCGACGTTTGCACAGACAGGCGGGCGATCAGGTTTTTGGGAGCGTAAGGCGCGACTACTCACTGTTCGTCAATGTCTACTTCGTCTTCATCAACATGTCAAACACCGGAGACAACAACAACACTGGAGACAAGAAAAAGGAGGTTCCCGTCAACACCAACGGAGGCAATACTGTCTCAAAGTCTAGCGGGGGGGGGGGGAAGAAAAAGGAGGTTCCCGTCAACACCAATGGAGGCAATATTGTCTCAAACTCTAGCGGAGGGTCATTCTCAGGGTATAACCTTCGTACATTATTTCTTCAAGTTCTACTGTTAGATTGCTCTTTTCTGTTACCATTTGTTCTATTGTTAGTCGTTATATTATTTCTTCAAGTTCTACTGTTAAATTCCTTCTTTCTGTTACCATTTGTTCTACTGTTAGTCGCAATGTTATTGTGTTGTCTTATCTACGTTGATGCTTATTTTATCTTAAGCATGTTCATGACGATCGAATTTATCAATTGCACTAGTTCTCGGGGTATAACCTTCTTACATTATTTCTTCAAGTTCTATTGCTAGATTCCTCTTTTCTGGTACCATTTGTTCAATGGTTAGTTGTCACGCCCAGAAATTCCCGAATAGAATTCCAAGCAGAATGTGCATTAAAATCCCCGTTCAGGACCGGCCGGGGTACACAAACGACAATGTTGACATTCAGATCCACGTCTTACAAACATCATAGAAGTCTTACATAAATGCAGCGGAAAAACGAAAGACAATAGGAGCTAAGCCTTGACTAGAACTGCAGCGGGAACACCACTCCACAGGCATCCTCGACGGCACGGACGAAGCCTACTCCTCGGAGAAACCTCCATCTGACACATACTCGTACTATGGGGTTGGGAAAAATAGAGCAAGACTGAGTACTACCCACTGTACTCAGCAAGTCATACCGGAATAGGGGTATGATGCAGGGAATTATCAAAGGAGAGCTAGAGTGGTTCATTTGCATAAAGCGAGCATTTATAAACAGAAGTTTAAAGAAGAAAACGGTCGTAATAATTAATCAATATTAATCATCCACTGTCCAACGCTATACTACGTTGCGACAGGCCCAACCATCCACCTATACTATCCAATTTCAAAAGACTAAACTAGGGTGAGACTAATCACGGTGAATCTGGTTGACCGCCCATAACCGCGGGCATGGCTATTCGAATAGTTTTACTCTGATCAGAGGTGTACAACTGTACCCACAAGACATAGCCCCACGACATGTTTCCGTGCGCCGACATGCCACCACGACATACCGGAAAGAGGCCGTGACAGGACCCTTCGCATAACCCCCTCTAACCAAGCACACCACACCTCAGGTTTCACCCCCACTCCTCGCAAGGCAGCGGACAGTCCCCTCTCGTGCCTAGATGAATCCAGAAGCGACAGAGGCCGTCGCAGGGCCCGCCCCGCTCCATCACGCCCACCCTTGCCTGGATGTGTCAGCTAGAGGAAAGCTACACTACAAGCCCAGCCGTTGCCCACGCTGGCTTGTGGTAAGTACGATAAGTTCTTCCAGGGCATCCCGCGAACCGGTCCTTAACTGCCATGGGTGCGACTAGCAAAACCATGCACCCACAGCCCACCATGTGATTCATTTTAATTAACCAACACCAAAACGGTGGTACTAAACCAACCTTACCAATTGAACCTAAAGGCTATATTTTAGTGAGCTTTCCCCATTGTGTGCTAGTGGAACTAAGCATGGCTAAGCAATTCCTAGTCCAAAATCTATTCATGTTATAACCCAAGCTAACAAAGGAGCATGATATCAAAATGGCATGGCTGTAACAATAGGTAAACACCCCATAGTAACATTATAAAACAATGCAATATTTGAAGAAAAACAATAGAGCATTTGCAATATAGGATCAACATGTTCAAGTGACAAGCATGACTTGCCTTGCTCTGCTGCTGGAGAAACCTCGGCGACTATCTCGAAGTACACCGGAGCGTCGGAAGAACCGGAATCTAGCGACATACAAGTCAAACATTGCAAACAGGCTATAAGACTACTGAAACAGAGAACAAAACCATTTTTAATGGATTCTACACATTTTTCTTGATTTACTGAGACTTGAATGGGCTTAAACGGAGCTCGGATGAATTAGTTATGAATTTTAGAAGATTCACTGTGTTTATTACTATAACAAAAAGTCCTTAAATCATTTGTTGCGCAATAATTCCCAGGGCTGACGTCATCAAGGGGGGGTGCGGCGCCGACATGCGGGGCCCACCGGTCAGCGGCTCGGGAGAGAGGGAAAAGGGGCGCCGGCAAGCGGGCCCCACTCGGCAGCGGCGCACGGGTGGTCGGTCTACCGTGGACCGGGACCACGCGGGTGGTCCACCGCCGGTCCATGGGATCGACGGCCCGGGTCGGCCCGGGGCCGATCGGACGGTGCGGCGGCGGCCTGGCTCGGCTCGGCTCGGCACAAAGCCGGCCGGCCGGCCATGGCAAGGGCGGCGGCACGCGCGCGTCCACCGGCGACAGCAAGCGGCGGCGTGGGCAGCGGCAGCA